GTCAAGGACCCCGTAACGGGCCAAACAATCGAAATGGGCCGCGGCAAAGGAGGACCGCGCGTCCCTTCAGCAGCTCCACCATCGGGCTGGCAGGGCGGTCGGACACCGATGGCAGCTGCAGATTCATCCAGGACCCCCGCCTGGGGCGGCGCATCTTCCGCAAGGAGTAAGTCTTTTCATGTTTCACGTCTTGGGTCTACGATACTAACAAAGCGATTCAGCGCCTGCTTGGTCTGGTATGGGCGGTTCTCGCACACCAGCATGGAAGAACGATGGATCCCGTACATCGAATCCCTACGATGGAAGCCGCACCGCATATGGCGGGTTCGGCTCACGCACACCGGCGTGGAACGCTGGCGCCCGGACTCCTTACGGCGGCTCCGGCTCCGGCTCCGGACAGAGTGACTTCGACGCCTTCGCAGCCGGCTCCAGAACCCCAGCCTGGAACGCAAACTCCGGCAGTCGCACCCCAGCCTGGTCCTCGGGAGCTACGGCAAGCAACGGCAGCAAAGACTCCCGTGGCTACGACGCCCCAACTCCAGGCGGAGCTTATTCTGCACCCACCCCAGGCGCATATGGCAGCGCTCCGACCCCGGGTGTCTCAGCGCCTACACCTGGAGCCTGGGCTGATAGTGCCCCGACGCCAGGAGCATTCAACGCCCCTACCCCCGGCGGCCCGTCCAAGAAGCCGTACGACGCCCCTACACCCGCTGCCTGGGACAGTCGTCCCTATGACGCTCCTACACCAGCGATGGGCGGAGACGGCGACGATGCAGGACCACGGTACGAAGAAGGAACGCCTAGTCCTTAATATCATTTATTGCGGTGCATAAACAAAGGGGGAAAGTTCAAGCGGGGAGGGGCAACCTGGCGTAGTCATTTATATCATTGATCCTTGCATTCATATCTTTTATGTTCTTATAAGACAATACAGGCATGGTTAATTGGTCAACTTTGTTCTGTGAAAGTGTATCATTCATTGTATCATGACATCAAAATATTCAAATATCTACTGTTGTATCCCATTCAGGCTTTAAGAGTTAGCTGTGGATTTGGTCATAATACATATATTAACCAATCCCCTGTTTGATACAAGGCACTGTATTCAAGTAGATTATACAAGTCGTTAATAATGTCACAAGAAAAGGTGAGGTGATGGGGGAGAGAAATGGAAAATCATGTTCCTCACAATGAGAAATCCATTTGTACTCTGAAAAGCTGGATGAAGATCAAGAAAGATGGACGGGGAGAAGGGAGAAGGAAAGAACGAAAAAGTGAAAAAAGTATGAAGAAAAAGGCTGGCGGAGAGAAAACAAAGGGCGTGACGCATCATTCATCATCTCTTTCCATGAGAAGGATGTGTAGAGGGTTATTAAAACATATGGGTGAAAAGTAAACCAATCCAGCAGATGTAACATATAAACTTGACTTTTGTTTTCCATATGCAGCTCTCGTAGATCCATTTGTTCTTCTTTAGGATCTTCAGGGCCGTCGTCGTTCTATATTATGTAAGAGGAAAAAAAAAAAAGAAACATTCCACGGCATAGTGTGGTAGTGTGGGATGCAAACCCGAATCAAGAACGATTCTAAGGGGCATTGAATGGATTTATGGAGGCACTGCTCGTGCCAGGATGCGAATATTATCCACAAATCCCTTGACAAGGTCCTCGTATTGGTTCTTAGGGTCGCCGGCCAGGGCGAGCTGACCCTGACGGCGGATCTCATCGGCAGAGATTTCAACTTCGAGTTCATGCTCGAATTCACCTTTGGATGATGGCTATACAGCACATATTAAGTCAGAAACGTGTCTTACAAATCAATCAACTGGTAGGTAGCTGGTCCCCCGGTGAGAACGGGGAAAAAGCGAGCGACTTACTTCTGATTTGGCCACTTGTGTCAGGTCGATCTGGTATGCCAGATGTCGATAGCTCATACGATCCTTGTTTCGCTCTCCGCCGCGTCCACGACCGGGATCTACCACGGTGAGGTGGCTAACATCGCCCTCGTAGCTCATTTCCAGGTTGACGCTAATTCGCCAATCGACACATGTGCGAGGGCTGTAGATATCAAGGTCGGCAATTCGGCACTTCACAATCTTTGCGAGGACCTCGCCCGTTCGTTGGTCTAAAGTTACTCGCACTTTTGGTTTGTGGCGAGGATTAAGATTCTGTCGAATGACAGGTGGAAGCTCTGATGGTGATATTTCGTAAAAGGTATCTCGCTCCTTCTTGTGTGTGTAAGATAGTGGAATGCGTCCTGGGTTAGCTTGCGGTATGGACATCTTCACGGCTTCGTTCAGAAAATTATTCATTGCCCGATGTTGTGCCTACCCAGTGGTCAATCAATCATTCGATATAATCTCAACTGAAGCGAGTGACTCCCGTTTGAGGCATGAGGGCCGGAAAAAATTTTTTTTTTTTTTTTACTTACAATTGTCATTGTGCTCTCGAACGCAGTTCGCAAGCGAGTGTTTTCCTTATTTACAATACCTTCGGTCGAGATAGGCAAGAGAAGTCTCTCACCCCTGTCCATGTCAACGAGCTGTCCTAGCTTGGCTTCCACCTCGATCATTGCTCCCTGGCCGGCTGCCGCCGTACCAGCAGGAGCCGCGGTCGCATCGTTCCTTAGAACCACATGCTGGAATAAGAAATCGCAGACCGTTTTTGTGACCTCTTCGTGCGGGATGTACCCATAGATAGAGGGTTCCCATGGTCCTAAGCTGCCTGCCTGAGCAGGCTCTGGAGGTCGCCGGGGGGCCGAAGGGCCATTAGTAGGTGGTGTCTCGCTTTTGAATTTGACCGGAGAATCTGCAGCGGAAGCCTGGGCTGAAACGTTTTGTTGGCGCATCACGAAAGGATTTTGCGTTGAATCTCTCGCATGCTTCGGGATCGGTGGACAACGGTTCGGGATCATCGGAATCCTCCCTTTGGTGCGTACCGATCTTTGAGCATAGATTGGCGGTTCTTCATAACGCCTCCTCTTCACTCTGGGTGCTTGCGGACTTGAATTGGCCCCTGCATCCGGAGTTAGGTCCATCTTTGTGGGCAACGAACGGGCTTGATCGATCGCGGAGGTATCGTCCGTCAGAGACTTTCGCGCGGGCGGTGAGCTGTCAAAGGTTGAGACTGCTGGGGCAGGTTGGGAGGTTTGGAGGTTGGGCGGGTTGTCCTTCAAGGAGACACCATTTTCGGTGGGCTTCGGTTGAGAAGAGGACGCTAGGTCGGTGTATCCGGCCGTGCTCCCTTGCCGAGACCCAGAAGGAAAAGCGGTTTTCGGACTAACACTCTCATCCGAGTCCCTTCTGTCAGTCGCCGAAGAATTTTGCCGCGGGGTTTGTTCTAGCGGTCTTGAATCCTGTCGCGAGATACGAGGCATCGCTGTTGGCGACATATGAACCTGAGCATCCGGACCAACCCATGGGCTTGAGGCACGATTTGATAAGGATTCATGACCGGAGGATTGGGGGCGCGCAGATGGGGGCGTTTGATGGGTGTGAGATGCAGCAACAGAGGCTCGCGGAGTATTTGGTACCGATCCTTGGGCCGGAGGGGAAAATTGCTGCGACGGGTAAGGCTGTGAAGCAACCGCTGGCGGGCTTTCCCTGGGATGGAATGAGTAGGTGGAGGTGGATGAGGGGGTCAGGACAGACTGGATGGATTGCGAACGCTGCTGTGCGAAAGGCGACTGCTGCTGTTGGGGATGGCCATAGGTAGAAGAGAACGAGTCACGCGAGGCGGAGGAACCATAGGGGGGAGGACTCGGGCCGCGCTGAGATTGTGCGCCTGCACTCTGTGCGGAGGTGGGATGGTATTGATAGGGCGATTGGAGCGATCCATAGGAGGAAGAACGTTCTGGGGAGGCATGAGGACGTTGTAGGGGTGGAGGCTGAGGGGGATGATTCGAATAGGCAGATGGATAGGAGGAGGTCCGTTGTTGGTCGCGGGGAGCATACATGGGATCCGAAGGCTTACGCGACACTTGCGACGGAGACTGGAGAGGAGCAGTCGATGGAGCATCCGACGTTGCCGAGGCATCGTTGTTCATAATCGTGCGCAAATCCATGACGGCGAAGGGATTTGGTTGGTCGACTCGATCGCGATCTTGGCTGGTGGTGGTGGAGGAGGAGGAAGAGGAAGTATTCTTCGTTGAAACTAACTTACGTAGCTTGATGGAGCTTCGGGAGCTTGCGACCCCCTTCCACAACACCCCGAATTAACCGGGGTAGAAGTGGCTCTTTGGTGAGAAAAAAGAGTAAGGGGTGAGGAGACGGTATCACCGCATGGAATCGACTCAACTGGATGGGGGTTGTTGCAGAAAAAGTAGAAGTGCGACGTGAGGGAAAGGAAGAAAAAGAAAGAAAAGAGAGAGAGAGAGAGAAGGAGAAAAAGAATATCTTATGGAAAGTTGGTTAAGTCGCGGGATGCGGCAGTCGTGATTGGACGGTTCCTCGACTATGAACTGCTATACTAGCTCAATAAATCAGAAAAAAGGTAGAAAATTCCAATAGATAATGAGGTAGTAATTTATCTATCAATCTAATCTGAGTTTCTGTGTCATTCTCTATTACTATAGATAATGTGGATGTGGATATGTGGAAGTCTTATAATTTCCATACCATCGATCAATCTGGTTTCCCTTTTTTTTTTTTTTTTTTTTTAAATTTATTTACCTCCCAGTGGTCAAGAAATTACAGTACTGGATCTAATCTCTCAATGTCTTCTCTATCCCGCCATGTGTTCCTAATTAACCCAATTCCCCCTTTCCCTTTCCTTTTCTCTTTCTCTTTCTCTTTCTCTTTCTCTTTCTCTTTCTCTCTTTCGCGTTTCCTTCTTTTTACCGTTCGTTCACGAATCAATCACGTCTTCCTTCCCTTTCGTTTTCCTTGTCCCGTTCTGTCTGTCTTTTTCAATTGGTATTCATATTTCTTGGCTTATATACAAAGTGATATCTAAAGTATACATAACTATCTACATCTATATCTATATCTATAGTTCACCCCCCCCCAACCGCCACCAAATCTTGCCTAGACTGTATGTAACCCCCATTTTGCTTCTTCCCCTCGAAGTAAGGGTTTCCCTCTCACTTCATTGAGGCGAAATCAATCAACCAGATCACCTCAGATTCGGTGGATGTCGATCCCTCCGCAAGGCCACGTTGGAACGGAAAAAGAACTTCTTGCATGCCGCTTGCGGTCCACACTGGTGGTTACGCAATCGCCTTCCGCATTTAATCCGGAGATTCATTTATTTAGTCTTGAGAAGGGAAGGGAGTTGCGCCTCAACCACATTCCTCATTTCCCTCGTCGCTGCGATGGCATTTAACGGTCGGGACCAGGATCTCCGATCTCCCCCCGCGACAGACAACATTCCCCTGAATGATATCGAGTCTGGAGCCAATCGCGACTCCCAAGAATCCACGAAATGGACGAATATCACCGATTTCACCCCGTCGCATATCCTTTCCGATCCCTCAAGTCGTGTCCATGCCTTCGCCAACAATTGGCAAGCATGTGTGGGATCATTTTTGGATAAACTTGCGATCGCCATTACTCCGAGTTACCTGCAGCATTTGGTCGGCGGCCAACCGCCCGAATCCTCAAAACTACATGCTATCGCAGCGCTGGACGGTTTGCGTGGCTGGGCCTGTCTTCTCGTGTTCAACTTTCATTTCCTCTTCACTTATACCTGGAAAGTTGCGGTCGGATGGGGTTTCAATCGGGAGAATTACAACCTCTTCCAGTTGCCCATCCTCCATATGTTAGTATCCGGTCATATCATGGTGGCCATCTTCTTTGTGATCTCCGGATATGTCCTTTCCTACAAACCGTTGAAAATGATCCGCAGTCGATCATGGGAACAGACTTTCACCGTGCTGGCCTCGTCTACATTCCGCCGTGGCCTTCGCCTCTATATTCCCTCAGTCATTGGCATCGGGATCGTTATGCTGGCCGTGCGATTGGGTGTGTATGACTATTCGCAGAGGGTTCTTTACGAAGGCCACACCATTCAGGGCACCAATGAGCAACATCCTCCCATCCTGAAGTCCTTTCACAAACAATTCTGGGACTGGTACTCCACAGTAGGACATCTGGTGAATCCATGGGATTGGGCTCTGTACTACAATAACTACAATCCACACCTCTGGACCATCCCCGTTGAATTCCGTTGCTCCATCGTTCTCTTCCTCACCATCCTGGCCACCTCCCGCGTAACCACTGTTATCAGGATGTCTCTAGTCAGCACACTAGTCTGGTTCTGTATGCGCTGGGGCCGCTGGGACGTCGTCCTCTTCCTAAGCGGCATGCTGATGGCCGAAGCAGACCTGATCAACGGCACATGGGAGCGCCTAGCGGAGGGCGAAAAGCCATGGAGCGTCCGTTTCCCAACGAAGTACCACCCTTTTCGACTATCCAATCGCAAACTATGGATTGCGCTTTTCATTCTAGGTCTCTATTTCGGCTCTGCTCCCAACACCGGCTACAGATGGACCCCATTTTATATGTGGACCTGGAGCGTGACCCCAAAAACCTACCCCGAACCGCATCGGTTCCCTCAAACCATCGGGGCGGTTCTCATTGTCTTCAGCATCAACCATTCCAAAGACATCCAGAAACTCTTCACCAACCCCATCTCCCAATACCTCGGCAAGATCTCTTTCGCCTTCTACATTGTGCATGGGCCTATTCTTCACTCGCTTGGCTACTCCCTCATGCCCAATATCTGGGCGGTGATTGGCAAGGACTCCGATTTCCAGTACTGCCTGGGCTTCCTCATCGGTTGGCTCATCTGTCTTCCTCTATGTCTGTGGGCGGGTGATATCTACTGGCGCGCGGTAGATATTCCGAGCGTCAAGTTCGCTCGGTGGGTCGAGGATAAGGTCATGGTCAAGGCGACGGGACAGGAGAACGGAAGTGCCAACTCGCGTCGCGAGTGATTGCTTATCCGGGTTCGGTGCCTGTCGCGGAAATGGTCTTCATTCAACATTGGTTTTAGCGAGCATATTATGATGTTTATATAGTGCCTCTGATGACTGTCGTGTCTTTTGAATTCTTTTCTTCTTTGTTATCTATCATGCCACCTGTCTGGAATAGACTAGATCAACAGTAGTTACATATACCCCTCTGATTACCTGTCCTCGGGGCTGCTATCCCGTCTTAGAAGAAAGCTTAAAGAAAAAAAAAAAAACATACTCTTACTGTCCAATCGTTCATTCATTCATTCACTCATATCAGACCGTACCATGTCGCTTCCATGGTTGAACGATGCAAGTCAGCCGTGGTGGAGAAGACACGGAACAAGGCAGTAGGGTAAATGGCTGACTGGTAGGTAATGGGAAATAGCGTCTAGTAAATGTGTCAATTCTTTCATAGTGCAACACCCCAAATGCCCCGTCCACCGCACACTCCTAACCAATCCCGCGGATGCCCTGTGCCGGTGGTCCCGCCTTGTGGCGACCAGCTGATGTTGGAAACCTCGTAATCACACTGCCACGCGGCAGCAGGACCACGCTCCTGGGTGGTCGAGGGCGCACCTGGGGTGTGCACCGGGGGCGGGACAGACGCGGCGTTGTGCTGGTTGATGAGGTCCCACAGAAGCACGCAGCAGTCGTCTGCGCCGGACGCGAGCACGCCACGACGGTTGGGGGACCACTCTACGCAGTTGATGGAGGAGCCATGGCCCTTGAGTTCTAACAGGGCCTGGCCAGGTTGACGAACATCTAGGACCCGGACAATGTTGGAGTCCTGAGAAAACGTGGCCAGAAGGTGAGCGTCATGAGGGGATGCTGTTTTCGTTAGTATCGGAAGTTGTTGTTGCTATATGACAGGCCGGCCAGCTGTTTCACGTACCTGCGATTCGGAGAAGCGGCGGAGGCCATATGGATGCAGGGGCCGTGGGGCTACCATTTCCGGGACTGACCACTGCGGACGCAATCCCTGTTAGTTTGGAAAGGGACGGGGTACCGTGAATAGCACCTACGTTTATCACTCTTTTCGGTCGGCTCGTAGATGATCGTGCTGTGCTCTAGACTGCGGAGATCAAACATGCGCACACTACCGTCGGCACCGCAACTGACAAAAACATCGACGCTATTTGCGCAAAATCGGACATCATACACTTCTTTATCGTGTGCAATCAGTTGCGTCTTGGCAGTGAGGGTAGGGATATCCCAAATGGTGCAAGTTGTGTCAATGCTGGACGTAATAATCAAGCTTGGAGATATCGTATTCCAGTCGAGCGAGGTGATGGGGGCAGTATGCTCGGGAGATTTTGAGTTTGAGAGTAACGCCAACGGAGAAAGTTTAGCGGAAGGCGTATCCCTTTGGGTCGCCGAGCGTGTAATCGAGTTGGAACTCTGCACCGGCTGATTCGCAGGCAGGGACCATAGCCGCAGATGGTCGCCCGAGGTCGCCAGAAGATCGGTAGACTGCTTTTGCGATGATGGTGGCTCCCACAGTATTCGCGTGACGGGGTACGAATGTGTAGCCTCTGCTGTTTTGACATATTCCAGCTTAATCTCGCCAGTTGCTGCATCCGGTGTATCTGGGTCTGGTTTAGTCCAGTGGGTATCAATAATTTGTATCTGGACCCAGTTAGTGTCATCTGCAGGGGAGGAGATGGGGAAAGGAGAGTCGCACATAATTGTGGTTATCTTCTAAATAACTTCCAAGCGCAATCTTGCCTCCAAAGGAGCCCGAATTTCCAGGGATGGGCCATTTGCACCAATCCACCGCATATATCGGCCAAGGTGCAATATAATTGCTATTTGACGGCACTTGATTGTCTCCATTGAAGGGTAACGACCCGGGGCTGGTGATAGGATCACCCAGAAGATCACCTGTCGGCCGGATGTCGGCCAGCCCCAAAGGAGAGTATTTCGCGCCTTGTGGAGTATGAGGCGGGAACGCAGCACCAGGTGATGACCCGTATCTAGCATTGGCCGGGCTGGATCTCGAGTGTCCATGAGCGTTGTTCATGCTGGAACGGGGCGTTGTGGGAGGCTGCTGCGGCGGCTGCGGTTGCTGTGGTGGTGGCTGCTGGTGTTGCGGCTGCGGCTGCGGCTGTTGCTGTAACTGTGTAGACAACTGGGAAATGGTAGGAATGCCAGACGGGGCGGTATTCATGGATACAGCTGAGGGGCGGTTAGCATTTCCTGGCTGAAGCGCGCCTGGGAGAGCCGCAGTATTGCCGCCGGCGCCATATTGGTTGGGCTGTGAGCTCGTGGGGTGGACATTGATGGACGGAACGTGGCTATCTGCGGCGGTAGAGAATTCATGGGACATAGACTGTCGCCGTAAATCCGCAGCTCCCATACCCCCAGACGGAATATGTAGCTCCTCAGGCCGGCCATAGGTTGTCGCTCGTCGATTGGGCTCGAAGGGTTGCGATGGGTTCGACATGGTACCGGGAACAACAATGGAGATTTTCTCCTTCTAAGGATTAATTACCAGGCTCTCGCAGCCAACTTGCGAACACAATTCCTCCGATCGTTTTCCACCGTCCGAGGTTGTAGCTGAAGGGGGTTGGGTGGGTTATATCCCGACTGGACTTGGAGGCGGGGAGAGAGAGGGATGCGTAAGCTAGGAGCTCTGGCTACACCAAGGGCATATGTGGTTTTGTCTAAATCACTCGGTACAAATGGCCTTGGAAGTAGCTTAGCAGAACATCCTAGAGCTTTGGAAGAGAGTAAAAGAAGAAGAAGAGTCGGGCGACGGGCATAAGAAGGGATAACGTTCATCCAGGTCCAGGTCGATTGATTGATTGACTTGACTGTCTCAGTGTACGGCTGAGTCAGCCAGCCGCGGGGGTGGAATTCCCCAATACAATTTAATTCCTTACATTCATTGATTTTATCTTTTAGTGCCAATTGATTTCCCTACTACTCCTACTACTAAGTATTTTCCCGTCTTCCCTTGACTCTCAGAAAAAAACAAAACAAAACAAAAAAAAAAAGAATAGAAAAGAAAAATAAGTACACTTCAGGTCGCCTGGAATAGGATAATTTCCATCCGGGGTACTCTTATTTTCGATCTTCTTACACTTCTACTTCTATTTCCCACATAACAACTCCCCGCATTCAAGTATGGGTTTAGATCGCACCAGCCCAGCCTCGGCATTGCTACTGCTTCCACCCCCACCAGCGGCGTCGTTCGAGCAGTGCAGAAATGTGTATGAGTCGCTTTTATCTACCGTTTTCACCACGCTTGCTGAAATCAATGGTACCAACCACACTGCCATCTTGGATATTGCTCTCTTTCTTCCGGGACTCCAATCACAGACCTGTCAGCCCCGGGCTAAGTTGTTCAGGAGTCTCCAAAGTTTGCTGGCAAATCTCTATAGGCTCATTGGGATAGTCTCCGTTGAGAACAGTATTGGACTGGATGCCCCCGGTGGTATCAACACGCGAGTCATTTTGCTTGATTTGGATACCGTACATCCTTCCGGGAAGGACTCCTCCCAGGCTTCGCAAATGGGACCCATCCTAGACTTGCAAACCCTTGCGACCTCAGCTCGTCTATGGGACCAAATCTATTATCCGGATAACCAAGTAGGTCAGAATCTAGCAACGGCCTTCAGTAGTATCTATTCCCAGTTTAAGGACCCCAATGCCGGGACTCTGCACTCCATTCCCGGCGCCTCCAGCTGGACATCTTCGGAATCAATTGTGGCGCCGGACGACTCACGAGGAAGCCAGACACATCAGTCGGTTATTGTAGGCGGCACCTTCGATCATTTCCATATTGGACACAAGCTCCTGCTCACTGCCATGGCGTTGGTCTTAGATCCTGTTAGGGACACCAATCCGGGGAACGAGGCGCTTCTGACAATCGGCGTGACTGGTGATGAACTGCTAGTGAACAAGAAGTATGCGGAATGCCTGGAAAGCTGGGATGAGCGGTGTGAGGGTGTTGCATCCTTTCTGACGGCCATCATGGACTTTTACCCTCCCGACAAGAGCGCCACACGTACCGAGCGGGTCACGCAGCCAGGGCCTAACGGGAAATATATTCTGATGAAAGTACGGTCCGGATTGACCCTGAAACTTGTGCAGATTTCCGATCCGTTTGGGCCTACCATCACGGAGGAGGACATTAGCGCCATCGTGGTCTCCCAAGAAACTCGCTCGGGAGGTGCCGCGGTCAACGAAAAACGTGCAGAGAAGCATTGGAAGAGGCTCGATGTATTTGAGATTGACGTGCTTCATTCCAAAGACGTGCCGTCGAGTGATTTCGAAGATTTTGCGTCCAAAATCAGCAGCACGGATATCAGACGGCAGCGGATGGAACAAGCCAAGAGCGAATTAAGTTGAACGATTGGCTGAAGACGGGAAATTGCCTTTTCATAGCTCGACCTATGCAGCCATCAGTTATTCGTCACGGACATTTTTTATGGTCACACTACTAAGCAAGCACACTGGGCGGATTGGGTCCCAGCAACATTATTTGTACATACATACATACATACTTCATGCCTTCCCCAGTCCACGTCAACCAACGAATTGCGCTCCCCTGGGGGTGATTGATTCTCTTGTTGCATTTTCCCGTGGGACTGAGAAATGACGAGGGCGCCAATGAGGCTATCCGGATTCATGTAAAAACCATTTCCAGCGTCTTTTTCTTTTTTCCCTAAACCACCCATGTTTATGTATAGGGTGTGTGGTGTTAATAACTCCGAGGAGGGTTTGTTGGGCTCTTCACTTTCCCCACTCGTTTTTTTTTTTTTTTTTAGTTTTTTTCCCCTCGTCTCGATTTCCTGGTTTAATTTATTTTTTTTTTTATTTTTTTTATATGATGATGACTTGTTCAGCTGGTTGTTTTGAAAGTCATTGGAAACCAGAGGCTCCCCAGGAGATCTTATCTTCCCCCAATGTTTGGGGTTGCGCAGCCGGGCCGGCGACTACTGGACGACGATGCATGTTAAGTGGATGTTGATCCTTTCCCTCACACAGCAGATTCGCCCACCCACGCGGTAATTGTGGCCTGTGAGGCTATGCCATGCAGTCCATTGTTGTGACTTCGGTCGATTTTCTGCATGCTGGCTGCCAACTTACTACATGACGTTCTATTTGTGCTGCACGTTCCGTTGGTAAGTGTGGCCATGGTCTTCGAGCCAGTCATCTAGGCTTGCAGCTACACCGCGCCACGATACGATTCGCTTCCCAGGCGGGGTTCGTCTGCTGGTATCGGTTTCTCATGTCGCATCATCTTCCCCCCCCTCCATCATCCTGGGTCTAGCCCACGATCACTCTAATCACCAATCCTTCTCTTCCTTTGCAACCTTTCCTGCAGGTTCACGCTGGGTAACCGCATACCATTTCAATCATGTGACCCTAATGTGTGTCAGTTCTTGTCCAATATCGTATCGGTGTTGGCCCGGGGGAAATGTCCTGGGTTTAATACTGACGATGATCCCAGTCGACCGGGTTAGGTCCATGTGGGACGCTCTAAATCTTGTCAAACATGCCTCCGTGCTCCAAGCGCTGTCTCGGTGGCCCGCCGCCTACTCTGCAACAGTTGATAGAGAGTGCCTGTCTAGGGACTGGAGAGGGGATGTATCACTTTACGCTCGTCTTCTTTTTTCTTTTCTTTTCTTCTCTTCTTCTTCTTCCTTTCCTCTCTACGTAATCTTTATTAATACCCTTCAAAGTCCCTTGCTACCTTTCACTCCTTTTTTTTTTCTTTTTCTTTTTTGCTTATTCTACTCCCCGTTCCTTTCTCTTATTACGTAGAGTATTCGCCTTCAATCGACTTTCATTCCTGCACCGTTCCATGAGGTGCACCTTCCTCCTTGATTCCTTTTGACCAGGCCCGACTTCCATGTTGTTGCGGGTAGCCAAAGCAGCCGGAGACGCGGCTGCCCTGCTAAGAAATGGCCATGGACAGACCACGGCGCATTGACGACCTTGCGGACGAATTGATCAGTCATATCCTCTCGTTTCTCTTGGGATCAGAGCCTTCCTCTAACGAAACCTCCCCCACGAACAGCCATGGCTCCTACGGGTCCAATGGCAGCTGCGCGCATGGCGAAACGTCCGACTTGGACCGATTCAGGTTGGTGTCTACAAGGTTCAAGCGAATCGCTACTCCATGGAAATTTCCCCGTTTCGTCCTTCGCTTCTCACGGGATGGGTTTCGGAGGTTAGAGGATCTTCTGGAAATGCAGTTGGCCTGCCATGTGAAATCCTTCACGTACATGGTGCGACCCTTTTACCAAGGAAGCGGTACCGTCTCTGCTAATTCGTTAAATTCGCACGGAAGTCAAGCTGATAAGTATCTAGACTGGCCCCGTGTCTTGGAAACAGTCGAATCGCAAAACCTTGCAATTTCACAACTACATAAGAGTCGGCGTGAAGACCAGGAATACATCATCGCTGGGAGCCATGATATGCTACTCTTGCGCCGCGCTATATCTGCATTCTCATCTCTTCAGCAAATCAAACTGCTTCGCTTGCAGGATGGGGCGGACGAGCAATTGCTAGCTTATATACGTGAGCAATCTTCAGCAGAGACCGTTGATCTGGACTGGGAGCCAGCTTGCACGCGGGCTGTCACAAGTCTAGCGATTTCTCTGCTAGAGTCAAATTGCAGCGCTATTCGCTTCGTCGGGCCACAGATTAGCCCAGAGTCCGCCGTGAAACTATCACACACACCTCCACTGACGCTATCCACCTTGGGTGCTCGATTAACGGGCTTAGATCTCACCTTTTATTCTTCTAGAGACATGACAAGCAGCATCAAATCTGTTTCTAGCGTCTTTCATGACTTCTTTCTATCCGCAAAGAACCTGACGTCAATAAAGTTAGGCTTTCGGGCCAACATGCCTCTCGATCTCTCGCTCGAACTCATTTTCCACCGCCTACAATGGAAGAGGCTCCGGGCTCTCAGCATTCAAGGTTGGCGCTTACATTCGGAAGAGGTAATTTCCCTGATCCGCCGGCACAGGAGACAACTCCGTGATATCGCATTGACTGGCGTCTACCTGCGCAATGGGAGCCGATGGCAGGATATACTGTCCGTCCTGCACGACGAAATGGATCAAGTAGAACGTATATATTTACGGGATATCGACTACGCAGACCATTTGGACTCGGACTCACCAGATACTAATGGCCATGCCAGTACTTCCACCACGTCGGTCCTCTCCATCGTCCCCGAACCTACACTTGCCCTACCTGCTTACCATACAACTTTCAATGCTGAGTACCCATATTTCTCTCCCTGCGGAAGCACCCGACGTTCGTTTCCCGAGACAACCCTGGAGCGGTTGAGAGCACTCACGGCGGATGGCTTAGGTGATAACGGAGTGAGCGTGAGACGCGAGCAGAGTTTGCTTTGGGAGGCGTGGGTACTCTCTAGCCCTAGAAACATGTTACGACGATGGCAATAGCATAATCAGTGCTCTACGATGAGCAAAAGGTTGGGGAGGTAATGCTTTAGCTTTTCTGTATGCATCGCATCGTTTTCAAATAGTTCGAAAAAGTACGGAGCTGTCCCAGGACAAGTCTGAAGATACATGAGAAGATTTAGGAGACCGATAGAAGCGTCATGCAATATCCTAGAGTTTCCACGATAACTGACCATCGCTGCCAGTTACCGTCAGCTCTGCACACACTTGATGACCAAATCAGCTAACAAGATCTGGCAATTTCTTTCTTAGATAAATCAACTTCAATTACATAATTTTACTCATCTACTTGTTGTATAGCTACCGATGGATAAACGCTGGCCCATAACCTGGAAGAACTGGTATTGAGCTTATTCAATAACCCTAACGGGTGGAGTGTACGATAAACAAAACCCCGCCGATGCAGAATGAAACATCCTAGCCTTCATGTACTGGAAAAAAAAAAAAAAAAAAGGGAACAACGAGAATTCTATACATTTCAATCAAGAACCTCTAAATTTTCATCGAGATCATGACAGGCAAGGTAAGGGGGTAACTGAAGCCAGAAGCCGAAACATCGCTATGGGAGGGGGGAACTGGAAGGAGGCAAAAAACGTAGATGATATTAAAGCATCGCATAGGTAAGGATCTTGGTATCGGTGGCTATCAACCAGCTCCTGCGGACGGAGGGTTTTCTGGAGGAATAGATACGGGGCCGCTTGTACTCGCTGGTTTGGCGCTGCGTTCGCGCAGTCGACGACCTTCCATGAGCCCGCGGAGGCCGCGCTTTTGTAGGCCGATGACGCTGCTGAGGTCGCCGGTCCAGATCTCGCGGTTGGGGCGGAGCTCGGCGTCTGTGTTGCGACGGCGGTGGGAGTGAGTGGTGTCGTCGGTGTCGGAGTGATCGAAGCTGGTGTTTGTGGAGGCGGAGGTGGCGGTGCTGGCGGTGCTGATGGAGTCCTCGCGGTCGCGTTCGAGGTTGGTCGTGTTGCGGTGGCGGCGGCTGAAGATGTTGGTGTTGATACGGAGAGGGATGCCCCTGGAGCCGCTGGCGGCGCCGCTGGTGCTGCTTGCGACGGAGATGCCGGATGTGCCGTGTTCGGTGTCTGAGGAGTCCGACGTAAGGCGGCTGTGTGATGTATCTGTTCCTGTGCCGGCGGCGGAGTCTGTGTTGCCGTGGACGCCGTTCAGGGCTTCCAGAGTACCTCCCGGTCCGCTGGTGAATCCGGTGCCTCTGCCGCCACCTGCGGCTATGGCAGCGGCGTTGAAGACAGCGGCAGCGTTGCGTCCGTCGAGGACTTGGTGTAGTCTTTCGACGGTGGCTTCCAGGAGACCGTCCACTTGGTACGGTCGCGCAAGTTGGAGAAGGGAGCAGAGAATTTGGGGCGTGCAGAGGGAGGAACCCGCTGGGGGGAGAGCAGACGTGTAGAAGTAGTAGACGAGGACCTGAAGGGTGAGGTAGGTATGAGGCAAGTACAGCACGCGGGGTCTAGATGTGGGAGGTAAACTATGCGCAGAGGGTATCTCAAGATTCGCTAACAATGACTTGGAGGGGTTTGAATGATGGCTGACAAGAGTAGTGGCGTTGGAATAGGTGCTGTTCGGTCCGATGGACGGGGTAATCGTGATGCTGGAGTTACGGTTTGGATACATCTGGAGCGCTGGGCGCAGAGTGGCAGAGTCGGAGACCCCATTGTCAGAAGATTCTCGTAGAAGTTGGATAAAGTACGGTCCCCATCTTCTAGTCAAGATTCGTGAACTGACCGGGATGCGCTCGCCCCCAACCGCTTGAAGCTCCATGTCCGTCATCTCGGGGAGAGACTGGGCCAGTCTCCCCAGTTCGTCAGAGGCGGACGAGAATGGTCTTCCACCAGATGTTAATTTAGCCAACTTAGGTTGAAGAGATGCGGGGACTGCAGGGGAGCTATGAGAGATGTACCCGGACGTCGGGGCTGTTCTGCACGGGTTATTGTAGAGGCCGAATGCTTCCAACTCGACCATGCACACATGCGAGAAGTTGAGTCGTCGGTGGTTGTAATCCTCAACCAGACTACGCTTCCGATGGCCGAGAATCACGAACGTGTTCCTTCTCGCCCATAGTACTCCGCGGTTCCAGCTTCCCTGTCCGAAAACCGTTCCACCAGCATCGATACGGCCCCAGGTGAGCGTCTTCAGGTCAAGTGCCCACAGGGCGTATTCCTGCTTGGATGAGGTAAGATACGTGCCACTGACCACAAAGTGTCCGTTGATAACGCCTCCGTTGGGGAACCTCAAGCCAGGGGGCGATGCTTGGTTCTGCATTGGCTTCTCCACCAAGCGGCCATCCGGCAAGCGCAGCTGAAGCTCTAGTTTAACATCTAGGAAGTTGTAGTTCGAATAGATCAGCATAGGGCATCCCTCTACTGGTGACTCCTCCATAGGCTCATGGGCTTCATTATCGATTGAAGCGGACCCTATGTCCGAAACATTCATACCGGCCAATGGGGCAACCACACTACGATAAGCGCCGCAACTTCTTCCTAAGGGACTTGTATTGGTCCACTTCAGACTGCGAAGGTTGAACACGCTGATCTGCTCAATATAATGATTGGAGCTGTCCTGCCCTCCCACCACCACCATTTCTGCACCACCGAAACCATCAATGTCCACCCCGATCGAGCCCTGGTGAGGATTCGACGACGCGGGGTTATGATGGATAGCCGAAAGGGGTGCAGTTGCCGACGTGAAGTGAGCACTGGAAGGCAAGATTGTCGCGCAGTGGGCATATCGTCCCTGGGGCGAGTCGGAAGCAGGGACTCGAGTCCATGTTCGCGAAGGGACATCGAATATGTGTATATCAGACATCACCACCACCTCTGGCTGCGCCTCCTGCCCCGTAGAGCCATTGGGTGTGGTATCCTTGGGTGACATACCACCATAGCACACCAGCTTATTGTCTCCAAGAGCACAGACACTGTGAAAATATCGCGGACGGGGAACATCACCGGTGGCATCGATCTTTGTCCAGTGACGCCGGATCAGGTCCAGCTCATATATATCGGACGTCAATTGCGGGCGGCTCTTCGAGAGAACCCGACCGCCAAACACGTACAGCTTATCGCCTAATATAGTTGTAGTCGCACCTACCAATGGATGCGGTTCTCTTCCAGTTGTCCGGCGAACATTGCACACTAGACCTGACAGATTTATGGGACCCGATGTCGAAGACGGCTGTTGTTGTCCAGGAGAGACACCAGAGCCCGCAAGATCCTCCCGATTCGAGTCCAGGTATCCCAGACTCGACTGGCTCCGGGACATCATCTTGATAACGGTCGGTTGTCAACGGTACAATCAATATATCCCAATGCCTATCGCGTTACAGTGATTTCGCTCAAATTTGCCGGTCTCCGGGAAGTCGAACCGCCGTCGTAAGTAGAATGTTTGTCATTCAATATTCGAACGTTACAGAACACGGTGAACAAGGCGTCCAATGAATAGGGTATCATAACACTCGTAAACCACAAACAGAAGTAGTCAGAGCACCGTTGTCGTTCAAATGACCGTCTGGGCCCCGGGGCAAGCGAAGGGTAGATCGAAGGGTGTAAGTAAATCGTAATCGTCGCGATCGGTTTGCTCAGATCAGGGGCCGGGCGGGAGACTGTGATGGGACCACCGGGTGGATTCTCTCTCCCCGCGGCTACCAACCCAGAACGCTCCGTCGTTGAGGAACAGAGTCAAGCCTCCGGAATACAGATACGGCTTCTGGACACTTTTCGGGTTGGCTGCAAGGGGGGTTCCTCCCGTGAAAGCCGCCGGATGCAGAGAAAGGTGTTTTGTTTCCGTGAAGAGAGAGACGAGGCGAACGGAGAAAGTGCGGGCTTCAAGGCGGTCTCCGAGAGAAAAGTGGTTCCAGGCACACTACGAAAGTGGAGCTGACTCGGCGATTTTAGATTTTATCCCTTTCAACGTTGAAAGTCAATCTTTTTGACAGGCGACACTAGAAGCATGAAGAACCATTGGAAACAATTAGCGACGGAGGCACGATATGGGCAGTCTTGGTGCCAACACAGATTCATTCACTCACTATAATGAATCCCGACCCCACCATTACTTATCAATTTCCATACATGACCGTGTGGACTCGATGCTGGTTTTCCCCCGTTCGCGCACCCTCGCCAAAATAGGGTATGTGTTGACAGGGTGTTTGAAACCGCGGCCTCTTCACACGCAAGTTGTCTTTATTGTGCCAATAATGATGGGAGAATAAAAATAACCTGTCTCTCTGCGCCTCTTCTCAAGATTGCTTATCAACCTGAAGCGGTACGGTGATCGGAGGATATCTGGCGGACCAAACACGCTAAGATCTGACAAGTGGCCAGACGAATCGCTTCGCTCTCTCCCATCGCTCAGTCAGACGGAAGGTGAACGGTAGAGGGGTTGAACAAAGAAGGGGAGGTCGCCCGTCCACACAGTATCGCAAGACTTGAATGGGTCCACTCGACGGCCACATCCTGGGCAAAGGAAATCGTAACGGATCGCATGTGTGTAGTAGTAAAGTAGGAGGGATGGATAGATGGGGACATATACGAGTGGTCATTACCTCACCTGCTCGAGGCAGACAGGTGTGACTGTTTCCTGGCAGTGTTACTAGATTTACTCAGCGGTTCGCTTTGGATAGTGCTATCTCGTCCTTTGATTGACGGGTTCTTGATGCAGTCTTATGCAGGATGACATCGATTGCAGAATGGTTCTTCGCCCTGTCTCGCCCCGTGAGGCGCACACTTAATGCCAGCCTTCGTATTCATATATCAATATGGCTGCCGTCAGGACAGTGGAGCATTCATATCCGCTACGCAGGAACAATAATCGCCCGGCTCATGCTTCCTGCACGGGGCACACAAACCACAAGACTCTTTACAGGTGGTTCGATGATTGCACTAATTCCTTAGAACGGTTTACGCTGGGTTCGAAAGAGTCCAGATGGTATCATAAGAGGTATCATATTATTAGAGATGCGAAGCCGTGACTGTCATACTCTTTTTCATGAGAACATTCCCAATCATGTCCACGTCACAACTGGTTATTCCTCCTGGGAACCGCTAGCACGAAGTGGTTGAGTGGAAGACTGCGTCATAATTTACTCCTTCTTGTTGAGGTTGGTGAAACGCAGGTAACTAGTCAAGACAGGTTAGCACCAATCCTCCTCTCAGCGGGGAGGAAAATACTCACGGCTTGACCTGGCGGATTTCACCGAACTTTTTCTGAGCATCCTCCGTGGAGACAGGGGGGGGGATGACAACATCATCACCGGGGAGCCAGTTAATGGGGGTGGTGACACCGTGCTTGTCAGTGGTCTGAAGAGCATCGACAACACGGAGAACCTCGGCGGTGTTACGGCCGGTAGAAGCAGGGTAGGACATGATCAGACGGATCTTCTTGTTGGGGTCAATGATGAAGACAGAGCGGATGGTGAGAGCGAGACCTGCAATGATTGCTTAGCAATTTGAAACACCATTCAGCTTGTGAGAGCTACAACGTACCCTTGGAGTCAACGTTGGTGGTGTCCTGGTAGTCAACCATGTCATAGGCATAGGCGACCTTGCGCTCGGGGTCGGCAATGATGGGGAAGGTCAGCTTGGAGCCGGTCACCTCATCGATATCCTTGATCCAGAGCTTGTGGGAGTCGGTGCCGTTGGCGCTCAGACCGATCAGCTTCACTCCACGAGCAGTGAACTCGGGCTCAAGCTTGGCGAAAGCGCCCAGCTCAGTGGTGCAGATGGGGGTGAAGTCATCGGGGTGAGAGAAAAGGATGGCCCAGCTGTTGCCAATGTAGTCGTGGAAGGAGATGGGTTCGTTGGAGGTCTCAGCGTAGAAGTTGGGGGCAGTAGAGCCGAGACGGATGCTATAGTCAATTGCCGTGTCAGTCTCCGATTGAGTCCATGTTGACGGTCCTTAAGTCACCCCGGGAGGAATCGAAAACGATGACAGCAAGGTTACTTACGGAGCAGCACGTTCCTGAGCCATTGTGAAAGAGTCAACGGAGGTATCCAAGTAAGGAAGAAAGAGGGATTAGATGGTAAGGATGATGAGCAGAGACGGGAAAAGATGGAGAATGGAGGGGAAAGGGGACCTTGAAATAGTTTTGGCGGCGGGGAAGGACTAGGTGAAGGGGATGTACCTTTTCCGGGTCCCAGACTCCAGTCTACTATACTCCGTAGAGGTAACCGCCTACTAGTACTAGTAGTACGAGGTACCCTCAGTGACCAGTCAGCCCTTCAGCTTCTCGACCCCTCCAGATCTTCCCCTCGATAGAACGTTCGGCGAATGACCGTCTCGTCGCGGTTCCTCCTCCAAATCACGCAATTGACCACCGCCCGCGGGGCAGAATGATCCCCATTGGCCATTCATGAGCTCATTCTGTGGTGGGCTGTTTAGCGCATCCCGTTTCGGACGTGCCCCACGATGGAGTTAACGACATTATGTCGGGGTTCATGAAGATATCGGATTCTGTGACTACTACTAGTAGTGACCAAAGTTAGTGTAGAACTAACAGGCATGGGATACGACTACATCTTCTGGGAACCAATGATATGGCCGGACTTGTAGATGAATGGTCCCGTCTAACATTGCAATGATTTTCTTAGTTAAAAAAAAATACAAGACATGTAATAGCAAGGAGTACAACGGTGCGAGTCGAGACCATCATCCGACTTTACCTCTACGCTGTACCTTCCTGGCGGACACTTAATGCTTCAAATCCCATGCGCTGTACTGAAAGATCAATTAGTATCTCTCGAGGTCACCGCCCTCCCCTTCTTTCCAAAAGTCTTGAATACCCTTCCTTGGCTATGTCCAAATATCCGAGTTTATCGGCCGACTACTGACAAGAAAAGAATAGTTCGGCCGACAATGCCCATCACTAGGGCCAATGGACACTGTGGAAGATGGCGCAATTCCGCACATCACCTCCCGTCATATGCCCGATAACTTCGCAAGTGACAAGCCGAGATGTTGCACTGGTACTGGTGAAAGGGAACCCGAGATGAAGGACACGTTCCCTCTGGACAATTTAAGTACGTACTCCGGAGTAGTACGTACATACTATTTATTATTAGTGGAATCCCGAGGGACCCCTGACCGGCACTTTGCAAAGCTCGGTAACTAAACTTAGATTGAGTGAGGACCCACCCTGCGCTATACTACTACGACTAGTACTATGTCATGATCAGGGTGGTCTTCTAATACAATAGTGCTAACTTCATAACATTTGTTTATGATGGGTTGGAAAGTGACCAATGTCTGTCGGACAAGAATTTCAAGCCAAGCCGATATGTGGGGGTCTTTTCAATTGAGTGCCGTGTCAGTTAACGTAGCCAGGCTTTCGAGAAACCTAATGTTGATTCATGATTTCCTAGAGGCGGTTTAGCAATAGGCTGATGAAGCTGAATAACCTGGTCTCATACACTTGCAAATTTACTTCTGGCACGGATTTGAGGTCCATAAAATACTAGGACCCAGGGCACAATTGTCAGCAGAACACCCTGTTGGCGTTAGTCTGAGTAATGGAATAGAGGACTGTCGTGCTTACAATCCCCCCAAGAAGACTGGAGGCTGCTGGATAACCCAGGTTATTGAACATCGCATTGGTAACCAGCGGGAACACGGCCCCCATAACATTTCGACCTAAAGGCCGTCAGCATCACGGAGCTGCTATCGGGGGTACAAGTGTGACAAACAGAATGACTGCGCAGCAATCGCTGAACTAGCGTATCGATGATAAGTATCAGCAAGGTAGTTGAAGGCGGCCAAGTAGATGGAAAAAATGCCTATCGTCGAGCATCCCACAGCAATCGTCGGCACGATCCACGGGACCGAGGGAAATGATGTCCATCCAAACCAGAAGAGACCGATTGGCAGCAAAATCGACTCGACGCATGTGAAATACAAACGCCCTTCTGGGGTGCTCGACATCTTGCCAACCCGCATAGCGAACTTCTCCTGGTAGATGCTCAAAGGGGTCGCCAGCAGCGCACCGATAGATACCGCCGCAAAAACTGCCCCAGTCTGCTCCACATTGAAATGGTAGTTGGTCGAAAAGACAATTGGGATCGCAATGAACTGGAGGTACAGGACGGCCCAACTGAAAGAGACCCAGAGTGAAAAGAAGAAAACCACGGGTTCGGTGAGCAGAAGGTCTTGATGGAGCGGTCAGCTATGCTTCCTGCCGAAACCACCCATTGGAAAAGGAACGTCTCCCACTTACGGAACGGCCTAAAGCAGGATATGGTGATCATCTTGGTTATACTCTCGCGCTCCTCATCGCTTTTTACCTTCCACCGTATGCGTATGGCTTGTTGTTTTTCGTTCAAGTCGTCGTCTGAGCAGAATATAACGCCAACATAACCTGCGTCTTCCAGTGTATCGTAGTAGTTATTGAGGACTTTAGCTTTTCGGCTTAAAAGCACGCTCCCCCGGGTTTCGTTGAGAAAGACAAAGAGGACAAGCATTAACACTGCCGAAGCGATAGCTTGGGAGTAGTGGATCCAACGCCAATTGGCGCGGTAATCAATGAAACCAGGAATGAGCGGCCCCAAGCCCGTCCCAAGGAGAACGGCGCCAGAGAAGCACGACATGGGGACATTGCGGTGTTCAGCATGGTATATATCACTAATGACACCGCCCACCATAGTGGAAAAGGTAGCTACAGTGGATGGCCCGTGTCAACCTGAACTGTAGTACAGCACGAGGGGTGCAAAACACGACAACTTACATCCGCCAACACCAAGAAAGAACCTTGCCACAAGCATGCCGGCAAAAGTCTCCGTGGCACCGCATCCGATCAAGCACACTATCAACCATAGATATTAGTTCTGGTTTCTCCATTGATCAAGCTGTGAGAGGCAAGGGAGCTGACCGGTAAAAACTAGACCGCTAGACACAAAGATAGGTCGCCTCCCATTAATTTCCGAGAAAGGTGCCAGCACCATGGGAGCGATAGCGAAACCTAAAGTATACAGAGAAATCCCCAGATTATATACAACCCTGCTCACATTCCACTTGGCCGTCAACTCATCAGCTGGAGGGGTATACGATCCTGCCGCATAAGCCGACATGGCTGTCACACAGCACGAGATAATTGTGACGACGGTCTTGCGGGATTCTGCCCACAAAAAGGGTGAAGCGTACTTTGTGAGATTGGGGCATGGTGGTGGAGACGATTGTCCCGGCTGCGGGGAAGAGACGCCCACGGGGTGTGGCAAGGTGGTGTCAAAGTTGAGATAGAGATATTCAACATCTTGACCAGAATCTGATGTGTTGCTTATTTGCTGTTTATGCTGCTGTCCCTCTCGATCCCCATGTTTCTTAGTGTATTCCAGCGCTTCAATGCTTTCTGGGGTCGGATCTAACTGCCGATTGAGTACGGTATGCATCTTGGTTTCTCTAGACCTACCGACCGCTGGGTCTCAGCCGAAATCTATCCAGCACATGTGGGGAAGTGTAAGACAATAAATATCCTTCCTGTTAGCAAAGGAACAAAAGCAAGATAAATTCTTGAACATTAATACGGCGTCGATCAGACCCACGAGTGCAAGTGACTCAAATGGTTTTTAAATCTTGCGAATGGAAAGTTAATGCAAGCTGAGGTGGAGAACGGGGGATCTACGTGCTGTGGAAGTATCCCGGCGTTATCGCCGATGATCTGACTTGTAGAGGGAGTATGTCTTCCTTTAGCTTGTTGTTAGTTCATCCAACTCTATTGTCGTATTATTTCAATCTTTTTTTTTTGTTTTGTTTTGTTTTGTTTTGTTTTGCTTCTCGTTCTTTTGAAATCAATTGTAATTCATGCGCTGTTCAAGTAGTAGGATCTCGAATACAGTGGGATTCCCGTGACCTGAATAACAGCTCGAGAATAACCGAAACTACTACTAGTAACAGCTCAGAGCTGCATGCGAGAAATATTCAAATCCCGCCAACCGGAGATGAGCACTTCCTCCCCGATAGTTGCATCCGGAAATTTCATAGTAGTTTGATTGGCTATCCGAGGTTATGCCATAGTGTTTGTTCCATGATTCCAAGGTTTAGATAATCGATCAGTCTGCGTACATTTATATGTACATCTATAGATAGACCTTGCTTGTAGGTTATTTAATAGTTATGTGATCTTATCGATGAAGGGTATTGGAACAAAGGCTCCTCTGCGCCCGGGTCTCTAGAGAAACATCACGTAGAGAATCAACTAGACGCAGTACTCCGTCCAGGTCGGATACTATCATTCGTACTATAGGACTACCCTTGTAGTACTCCGCAGTGATATCCTTCAAGGCGGCATCACGTGATTATGATCGGCTCGGGTCCACTGGGGCCGGCTCGCGTCCAGTCCAGTCGAGCTGGTCCCCATCCCCGGGCGCAAAACAAAGCTTCAACTCATCTTGTTCAAGTGCGTGCCAGCGGTCCCTGCCTAGCTTTTCAGGTTTCTCCGTCACCCCCATTAGGTGAGAAGGTCCCTTCATTCCCCCCTCCCCAATCTTCCTTCCCATCAGGGTTGAATCTGTGGGATAATTATTCGACCGCGACCGACAGCGGACTGACCAACACCAACACCAACACTAACACAAACACAGGTTCCCTTAGGCGCGTCTGGATCGCCGTGTCTCCCTCATCTCTCCTCCCCGCCTCCGGTCCTTTGACTGGTTGGCTTACATTGCCTCTCTTTCTCTTATCGAATCTGCCTTTTGTTTTGATTTCCCATTTCTGATCTCCCCTCACACCCCCTCACATCCATCCTATCCCTCTATCACGCAGACTTCTTCACCCATGACAACAATGCCAGTCAAGAAGCGCAAGTCTGAAGGCGCGCCAGCGGCCGAAGAAAGCAATTCCCCCAAAAGAGTGCGTATGTCCGACATGAATCGCGGGATTTTTATTTTTTCTCTTTCGTGTTTTTCGGGGATCGACAGGTCCGACGTGAAGCGCGTCATGCGAATGCTCATCATAAAAGGCAATTCGCGACCGCCGCTCACTCACGCCCCATTCCTTGTTCCCGCATTGGATTTCCACCTTGTCTTCGTAACACAAGACAACTTTCCGTTTGATGAAATATAAAGTTCCGAGCAAGCATGCGATTCATTAAGTGCCAATTCAGATAACGAGAACTAATGTCATCGTCTCCGCAGGCTGCTGTCCCTGATCCAGCTACTGGAGAGAAAAGGAAGAGAGGTCGTCCTCGCAAGTACCCCGAAGGAAGTGGCCCCAAGCCTTCCCCGGGTCCGAAAAGGGGCCGGGGTCGTCCCCGCAAGGACCCGTCTGCCAGTACGTAGTTCCCCTATTATCTACCCCTTCGTCGCATCCTCTCATCTCAGCTGCAATAGAGATGTGCCCCGAGAGGAGGATTCGCTGACGTACCTTAAGGCACTCCCACGAAACCGAGTACTCCCAAGGAGGGCAAGCGGCCAGTCGGAAGGCCTAGGAAGTATCCCGCTCAGAATGGGGCAGACACACCGACAGACAGATCCACGCAACCGAAATCAGAGTCAGCAGATGCCAAAGCCGACGATGAGGCGGATGAAGATGATTCCGGCCGCTCGTATTGGTTGATGAAAGCAGAGCCCGAGTCGCGCCTAGAGAAGGGGGTTGATGTTAAGTTCTCCATTGATGACTTGGCTTCGCGTAGCAAGCCGGAGCCCTGGGATGGTGCGTGATGTGTCCTTATCTTACAACCAAGTCAATGCTAACCTTCTGCAAGGTGTGCGGAACCCTGCAGGTAAGTTCGACGAGTCAGCTAGCGATATACGAGAGCACAGGCTTACGATGAGTAGCAAGAAATCACATGAGAGAGATGAAGAAGGGTGACTACGCTTTCTTTTACCACTCCAATTGCAAGGTGCCCGGAGTTGCGGGTTTTATGGAGATTGTACAAGAACATACACCAGACGGTCCGTCTCAATTCTGCATATTCCCCACTCCCCGGCGCAATGACTAACGCAAAATCACTGCAGAGTCTGCCTTTGACCCTGCACACCCGTACTACGACGAGAAATCTAGCCGGGAAGACCCCAAATGGGACGTGGTCCACGTCGAGTTCCGACGCAAGTTCCAGAACTTCGTCTCATTAAACGACCTCAAAGCTCACGCAAAAGCGGGAGATCCGCTCGAGGACCTTCAGGTCCTGAAACAATCCCGGCTCAGTGTTTCCCGCGTTACCAAGAAGGAATGGGACTTCATCCTAGGGTTAGCCAAGGAAAAGGAGTCATCATCATCGGAGGAAGAGAGCGCAGAAGAAGCCAGCGAGTAGAGGAAGATACGAAATTTCTTTTTCATTTTCATGTCATTTCATGTTTGTTTTTCCCACTTCCTTCAAAGAGACTCCGGGGTGAGTCTCAAAGCTCTCCACGGGCGTCTTTGTTTCCTTGTGTACAATGAACCGGGTTCTTGTCTGTTTCGAGGTGTTCCAATAATGTGAATGGTATTTTGAATGATCACCTACTGAGCACGGGTCCAGATTTTGGACGAGACGGCATCGCCTGCTATTATCAGGTCTTCCCTGGTACAGAACTTTCCTCGTAACCTAGCTGTGTCATTCCTGCCCAAACTGTAGATGATTTATAGACCCAGACTTTTAACACGTTGGCAAGGCAAAAAGTTGGCAAGGGGTCTCTATGAGATCGGCAGTCGAACGGTGGGAAGCCGGATAACCGGTAGATAAATGATTGGAGAGAGTGCTCCGTCATGAAGGACCATGAGGAGGGGAAGGCGGGGAATGGGCTTGGTCATTAGAAGTCTATCAGGGATATAGATGCACGGTGATGTGTTGTGATGAGCGGATCCATGGGTCGGTGGCCGCGGACGGCGAAGAGAAGAGTGGGATTGGCTGTTCGATCTCAACGGGGGTTTTTCAGTTCATGACGAGAGGATCCATTTTTTTTTCTTTATTTTGAATTCTGATTATGAATCGCATCGCAAACAGCTTGGAAGATGGGATGGTTTGATTGGGGATCCAGAAACGAGAAAAGTATTCTAGAACAAGGCTTTCCTGGGAAGAGAAAGTGTATCCGATCTCCACCGATTAGTGGGCAAGTCACCTGCCGTCTCATTGGATCTCCAGTTATCTCTGGCGGGGGAGCTCCAACATCAACTTTACCTGCATCTACTATGCTGCAAGAAGAAACCCTGAACGCTCGTTAGTATCCTATATTATTATATAAAGTACCCTCCCTCGCTTCGCTACCCTTCTCTTCTCTTCTCTTCTTCTTTCTTTTCTCTCTGTATTAATGCCCCTCAGTCTCCCTCCACTCCTAACCCGCCTGTACCTGCGTGGTCCTCCTCTCGTCAAGCTCCCTTCATCCTCCTCTGCTCCTCGTCGACTCTTTCACAGCTCCCCAATCATCATGTCGGGCGTCACAGTACAGTTGACGGCCCCCAATGGGCGTAAGTACTCTCAGCCCATTGGTCTGTTCATCAACAACGAGTTTGTTCCGTCCAAATCGGGCGAGAAGTTTGCCACCATTAACCCTGCGTAAGTGACCTTGTCCAGTCGAACCGGACGCCGTGTCCCGTGATCCAAAAAGCAGCTAAAACTAACCAGTTCATAGAGATGAGAAAGAGATTACTTCCGTGTATGCTGCAGGCGAGGAAGATATTGATATCGCCGTCAAGGCTGCCCGCAAGGCATTCAGGGATCCATCGTGGAAGCTACTTCCACCAACGGATCGGGGTGCTTTGATGTTGAAGCTGGCAGATCTTATTGAACAGCACAAGGAAACGCTTGCCACCATTGAAACATGGGACAACGGTATGTGTCCTCAATCTATCGGTCGAGTTTCTGCGTTTGTCCTTGACTGACCCGGCTTAGGCAAGCCTTACTCTGTCTCCTTGAGTTCGGATTTGGGTGAGGTCATCAACACCCTTCGTTATTATGCTGGCTGGGCCGACAAGGTTCATGGCCAAACCATTAGCACCACGCCGGCCAAGCTGGCCTACACCCTTCGCCAGCCAATTGGTGTAGTGGGCCAGATCATCCCATGGAACTTTCCCCTTGCTATGGCTGCATGGAAACTTGGCCCTGCGCTGGCTTGCGGTAATACCATTGTCATGAAGCCAGCTGAGCAGACACCCCTCAGCATCCTCTACCTCGCCACGCTCATCAAGGAAGCCGGATTCCCCCCTGGAGTGATCAACATCGTCAACGGCCTCGGAAGAGTTGCCGGCAGCGCCCTAGTGACCCACTCTGATGTCGATAAGGTTGCCTTTACTGGCTCCACCTTGACCGGCCGAGAGGTCATGAAGTTGGCCGCCGGTACCTTGAAAAACATCACACTTGAAACCGGCGGCAAATCTCCTCTAGTCGTGTTTGGCGACGCAGATATTGAGCAGGCTGCTAAATGGGCGCATACGGGCATCATGTACAACCAAGGACAGGTCTGCACGGCAACTTCGCGTATCCTGGTCCACGAATCGGTCTATGACAAGTTCATCGAGCTTTTCAAGCAAGAAGTGGCGTCGGTCAGCAAAGTTGGTGATCCCTTCGCCGATGACACCTTCCAGGGCCCTCAGGTCACCAAGGCGCAGTACGACCGAGTCCTTTCGTACATCCAGACCGGCAAATCCGAAGGAGCAACTCTCGTCGCTGGCGGCGAGCCTTACAAGAACGTCGGCGACGGCAAGGGTTTCTTCATCGCACCAACCATCTTCACGAACGTCAAGGACAACATGCGTATCTATCGCGAGGAGGTCTTCGGCCCATTCGTCGTGATTTCCAGCTTCGCCGCTGAGGACGAGGCCGTGACTCGCGCCAACGACACGACGTACGGATTGGGTGCAGCCATTTTCACCAAGGATATTGAGCGGGCGCACCGCGTGGCCTCTGAGATCGAAGCGGGAATGGTTTGGATTAACAGCAGCAACGACAGCGACTTCCGCGTTCCTTTCGGTGGCATCAAGCAGAGCGGTATCGGCCGTGAGCTCGGCGAGGCCGGATTGGAGGCATACTCGCAGGTGAAGGCCATCCACGTCAATCTCGGATCCAAGCTGTAATGCAAATGCATGGCAAGCTCATTGATGATGTGTAATGTTTGTATATAGGATATAGTCAGATGCCAGTTGGATTGAGAAGTACAAAATAGGAAGTTGATCCAGCAAACAACCATGCAGGTAATCCACCAACGAGAGACAACATACCAGTAAAACACTGCACGTAATACTCAAAACCAAGGAACCAATCCAGAGTACGTGGTATACCCACGTTGGACCCAACAAAAACAACCACCACAGCCACCTCCCGACAAACTCTCATCTCACCCACCATACAAGAGGCACATCACACACAACGCTCCCACCTGACCCACACACACACACACACACACACACACACACACTAACACCCATAACGAGCCACCATGATTCGCCACACCTAAACATACATACTAGTACATAGTACATGTGCCTCCCCAAGCAAGGAATGCCCATCATGCCGAACCACCTAACAGGGCATTCATACATACAGTTCAACTTAATCTCGATATCCCATCGCACTATCCGTACATACAGTTTGCATTCCCACTTTGAGACCCACAGATATGGGAAACAATCGAACACAGCCACCTAGAATGGGAAATATACCGTATAGATTTGTTTATGCACTGCATTACCTGATATAGTTCCTAGTAGTAGTATTTTACAAGGGTTAGGAGAGGGAGTGGGGAGGGTTTGAGATTTATTAGATCATCCGAGGCGACTACTACTTGGATATATATTTGTCTAGTTGAATAATTATATCCTATATAATTAACACATAGGAGGGAGGATGCTTAATAGACCGATTACACTCGGCGGAAGAAGCACAAAGGATACAAGACCACACAGTCTAGATACTCATCAGATCTGTACTAGCAAATACTTTTAATATATATACTACATACATATACATGCATGATCACACGTAGAGACATCATCTACTAACTCAACCCTTGTTACACATCTCAAGATCAACTTGAAGTTTACTACCCAATGACATGAATGTATGGATCTACATCGTCTTCTACCAGTTAGATCCATATACTCGTGACCTTCTGACAGTAACTCTAGTATAGTCTCGGTGAGTGATGAGATACCAGCGTTGCGTCCAATGAGGGGATGTTGGTTGGGTTTGTCCAGGTTGAGATGGTAACACTAACACTAACACTAACGCATCTTTTCTTTCGAGTAAGGATAGTAGGTATGAGGAGTGAGTTGCGTGGTACGGTGAAGAAACTGAAATAAAGAAAGGAGAAAGCATTGGATGCTTGACAGTTTTTTTGAATGTATGTAACTAAATAACTAACTATTGAAACGTTCTACAACAGATAAAGCGTGCACCGAGATCCATAGAGGCACATCTATTCGACGTATTGGTAGCTACTGCAGGCTAAACACCATGGCCGCATTCACCACTGGCCAGGTGTACTGGTAGAGAGCTTGAAGCTGCAGCCCAGCCTTTGCAGCCAGCTCCTCCCACTGCCGCTGAGTCCGCTCCTTCGACCCCAGAGCACTCATAATGCAGATGTCCGTTCCGGTTTCTGCCCACCGTGCCCCCTTCTCCGGAGGTACCCCGTCATCAATCACAATGCGGGACTCGGCATCCATGGCGGGAATAATGTTCTGGAGGATCTCAAGCGCCTGGTGGTCAGGGAAGTCGCGCAGAATGAGACGGAGAAAGTAGAACTTGGCCCCTTATGATTCATAATCAGCTATACAGCAGGCCCAAACAGACGGACCTCGTGACGCACCTTGGACGGGCTGTGGAGTATGGAAATCGTGTGGCATCGTTTCAATCCCTGACAACCGCTGGGTCGCCTGCGCAGCCTGCAGTACCGGAGGCAGGTCCTGGAGAATCACTCGGCCTGGTTGGTTGGGATACTTCTCGCGAAGTCGAATGCATGCATGTCCCATTCCACCCCCGATGTCGACGAAGAGCGCCTTCTCGGGCTCCGCAGACCATGATCCGAGCTCCTTCTCCAGTGGGAACGTGGCTAGGAAGTTCGGGGTGCGCTCGTCGGTGAGTAGGACCATGAAGTTCGCAATTCGTGTGGGCTGGGTTGCTAGCCAGTGGAAGCAGTCCTGATCGGTGTTGAACGCCTTCTGGAACGCAGTGGCTTTGGCATCCACGATGTCGGGATACTTGCGCTCTGCGAGGAAGTCCGGAAGGGCCATCAGGACTGGCCAGAGATTCTCGAATCTGGACGCCGGTTAAAACATGATATGCCTCGCATTGGGAGTCATCCGGGGAAAATGGGATACGCACGCATGTCGCATTCCTGCTTCGAGCCCGGGGACGGCCAACGTCTGTGTGATATTGCTCGATATATATTTGATGTCGTCCGTTTGGTGTACCATGCGCACCGAGGCCATGTAGCGGAGGAGCCGGGCTATGTGCCAGTCCCATTAGCTAGCATGCTTGAAAAAGATGATAATTGCATCTATACTCATCAGCTCTCGCCCACAGCCGAGATGATCGGCCAGTTCCTCCGCGCTCTTAGGAGATGTACACTGGCTGAGGTGTTTGAATAGACCCAGGTCCGAACCAACGCGAGCCACGGCGACTTGGCACGTCTATCCAGACAAGTCAGAAAAGCTGAGAAGATGAAGGATAGAAAGGTTACATCAAGCGACATCCGCATTACCGTATCGAATGGCGTCTCCAGCGAGTATTGCAGCTCGCGGAGAGCGTCATTGATTTCCGCACGCCCAAACTGGTCCTTGGACTGGGCCAGCTGCTGGATGAGCGTTTTTATGGCAGCGACAGTCTCCATGGCAAGGACCGAGATTCGATGGCTTGATCGGGCCGACGATCCAGCTCACACGAGTGGAACGAATTTTATAGCACTTATGAACAATGCTAACTCCGAGCCTCGTATTACACCTTCTTTAGGCCGTCGCCCAAGATGCAGGCTCCGACGCTGACGTCCGCCGCGGCCGAACCGTCTGACACGCCAGCTCGGGAATGTAGCGGGTATGGCATCTCTAATAATTGGCCTATTGCACCTTGTCCACCCGGTTGTCTGTCGTATTATCAATCTCTGCCCTAGTGAGGTATAGAACCACTGCCGGAGTTGAACCGACTTCGCCTGCCAACCCACCATCATGTTTACCTTAACCGAGTACTTCATCGCCGCCTGTGTCTGGCTCATCCTCTACAAGGTTGGCAATTTGCTGTGGAATCGACATCACTATTCCAAGCAGCAGAAAGCTCGCGGCTGTGGAGAGATCAAGCATTATCGCCATCGAGACCCGATTCTCGGACTAGACTTTGTCTACACGCTCTCCAAAGCCTTCAAGGAACACCGCTGGCTCCCATGGCAACAGGAGCTCTTTGCGGCCCAGGGCGTCAAGACCTTCCAGGCCAACTTCCTCGGGTCGCGAGCCATCTACACATGCGAGTCCGAGAACATGAAGGCCATGTCGACCACATACTGGCGCGAGTTTGGCCTGGAACCGCTTCGTCGGAAAAGCGGAGCCGCCGACCCTGTTGCTGGGCCCGGAGTCAGTACAGTTGACGGACCGATGTGGGATTTCAGTCGCAATCTCATCAAGCCCTATTTCACACGCGACGGATACTCGAACCTCGCCCGGCTGGAGGTGTTTGTCAATCGTCTGCTGCGCCTGGTGCCGACGGATGGTTCGACCTTTGACATGCAGCCGTTGCTGCAACGATGGGTAAGCTCCAATCTTATGAGCTCCTCAGCATGTATAGTAGGAACGCAGCATGGCTGACCAAGCGGGAAACGTAGTTCCTTGATACCTCCAGCGAGTTCCTGTTCGGCAAGACCGTCGACTCCCTCACCCATCACGAGAATGCGAAGGTGGCCAAGGCCATGGTCGACACAATGCGAGGCATCCGCGTGCGTCTGACCATGTCAAAGCTGATGTTCCTCCACCGTGATCCGGTGTGGATGGAGAATGTGAAAATCGTCCGGGATTTCGTGGACGAGCGCATCGATGCCAGTCTGACGCAGCTGCAGGACGTCAAGGGCGGCAAGGGTACGTCGGCCACAGAAAATCAGCCTGACGGTCGCACGGATCTGCTATGGGACATGGTACAGCAGCTGCAAGATAAGGAAGCTTTGCGGGGCCAAATAATGGCCGTGTTCATCCCCTCCAACGATACGACGTCGATTCTCATCAGCAACGCCATCTTCGCCCTGGCAAGACATCCCCATGTGTATCAGACGCTGCGGGAAGAGGTACTCGCCCTGGGAGACCAGGAGATTACGTTTGAGAAACTGCGTGGACTGCGCTACCTACGATATGTCATCAATGAGAGTGAGTGCATGTCGGCCAATTCCCGTGAATGGACTCCTCGACTGACCAGCTGGCAGCTCATCGTTTGTACCCGAACGGCATCCAGATGGTACGGATTGCTCTGGAAGACACTACACTGCCAGTCGGAGGAGGCCCAAATCAAAGCCAACCGATCTTCATCCAGAAAGGAGATATCGTCCATGCCAACCGGTACCTCATGCACCGGGACCCTGACAATTGGGGGCCTGATGCTGAGGTCTTCCGCCCGGAGCGTTGGGGAGATGCCCGGCCTCTGTGGAAGTTCGTCCCCTTTGGAGGAGGCCCGCGCATCTGCCCTGCGCATGTGCTCGTCGATACGGAGGCGTCATACGTGCTCCTGCGCTTTGTGCAGCGGTTTCGTACTCTGGAACCCCGAGACGACCGGCCATACAAGGCCATCATGCGGATTGGGCCGAGCAATTTGAATGGGGTGAATGTGGCTGTAAAGCCTGCGTAGCGGGGGGGATCTATGGACGTAGCGATGTTGAGCCATGAGCGGTAGCTACAAGATCAGGCGTCTAGAATACGAGAAATGGAATGTGGAAAGTTTGTCTGACAAATCCAAACCCAACTTGATTCACCACAGGCTGGGTGTTGTGCTTTATGTTGCTTCTACAACGGGAAGATACACACATTGCCTAGATTCTAACTAGCTACAGCCATCTCAGACACAATAAACAAGCTTCACCCCAGTCACCTGATGTTTACGGCTTCGGTTAGCCCCCTCGATCACCCCTGGGAGTCCTCCAGTCTCGAGTTGTAGTGGGTGGAGTTGCAGTTTGCCCTTGTCCAAGAGCCGCTGCGCCACGGGATACCACTTCCTTGCGAACTCGCGATCCTGGGGCTGCGCATCCCGCTTAAAAGGGTGCTTCCAGTTAATCGGACGACCGTAGATAGTGTATCCGATAATCCAGCGCGCCTTGACATTTCGGCGCGTGTGGCCGCGGATGGGAAACGGGTCAAGAGCCACATACTGACCACCGGAGCTGCCGATGGCCGTATAGCAGCATTTCATGGAGTCGATGTCGGTGATGCAGTCCACAGCGTATTTGATGGAGTTCTCCGTGTACTCGCGGATCTCGGAGCCGCAGCCCGTCGAGTGATAGTCGAAGGCTTCGGCGGCCCCAAGCTGCTTGACGCGGTTAAAGTTTTTCGGGGAGCAGGTGGTGACGGGGATGTAGCCGGACCTGTGGATGGGACTTGGTTGGCCTCCTGTACTCTTGGGGGTAAATGGCATGGAAGCCTTAAAACCTACAGCCGAAGAAGCTGGATCATGTAGCACCCAGACGCGGTTCCCCCGCCGTAGACGAGAACATACTGTGCGTCCTGGACAGGCTGATCGGGCCACGACAGACCGAGTGTCTGGTAGAGCGTCAGACCGGCCGTAGCCAAGCCTGTGCCTACCGTAGCTGCCTGCTCAAATGACATTTCCGGAGGAATCTTGTACACTAGCTCGCCGGGAATGGACACATACTCAGCGAAGGCGCCCTGGGTGGCATCCTCGGGGTTATTCCCAAAGGCCGCTCCACAGACCGAATCACCCACCGCGAAGCGGGATTGACAGGCTTCACCTACTACAACTACCTCTCCGGAGAAGTCCGTGCCCCAGGTGGCATCGGGGCTGGGCGAGAGATCGGCAGACTTCCAGTCAACGGGATTGAGAGCGACGCAGACCACCCGCACCAGGATATCCTCAGGCTGACAAGCGGGGACCGGACATCCCTTCTCAACGGAGGCTTTCCCGGGGCCCTTAATCTTGATCGCCCGTTGAGTGGCCGAGATCTCGAAATGAACAGAGGCAGGCATGGTGTGACACGGACGAGGGGGTGAAAGTGTAGCAGGATTCTCTGAATACCAGCAAGAAGCTACCGCGCATGATGATGACAAGTGAAGATTCCAGTAACGCAATTTGTATTTCCTATGTTTCATACAAACACATAGATGGAGCATAAGAACTACAGCGGCCGAGTAAAGTGGCGCACAAGGTTCGGAGACGGTGCGGAGACGGGCTTATCTTACTCTAGCCCTAACGCAGACTCCGCCAGAACAACAAGTCAGCTCTGCTGCAGTGGTGTCTCTTTTGTTTGATCGATTTTAGATTCATACAACCTCCCGGCGGGCGCCTAGTAGCCCGAGTGATTGATATCCTCAGCTGCCACCATGGTTTCCCTTAGAGAGGTTCGTGCCCACAACGCAGGCCTCCGAGCTGCCTGGGCAGGCCATCGCCATGTCTCGCTCTTTGTCGGAGCGACCAAGGGCATCGGGCTGGCTACCATTATGGAGTTGGTCCAGCGCATCGATAGACCGGTCGTATATATCGTTTGCCGATCAACCACCCAGTTCGCCCCGAGGATCGCTGAGTTGCAACGACTGAACCGCAACGCCAAGCTGGTGGCCCTCTACGGTCAGATCTCATTGCTGTCTGAGGTCGACCGCATCTGTCACTTAGTGCGCCGCGAGGAGTCCCAGCTGGATCTCTTGTTCATGAGTCCTGGCTACCTGCCTAACGGGCATCCGTCCTGTAAGGATAGCATCCCTGCATTCAGCTTTTACAATACTGATCTGTGATCTGAAAGATACACCAGAAGGGCTAGAAGAGCTAACTTCCCTTGCATACTATTGTCGACTACGATTCACGGTGAATCTCCTTCCACTTCTCGAGCGAACCGGCAAGGCGAATCACCCGAATGAGTCGTCCAGTCAACGACCTCGAGTCTTCAGCGTCTTAAACGGTGGCAATGAACGTGCCCTGTCCTTTGTGACCGAAGATCTGCAGTCGGAGAAAAGCTACACCATGCTGAACCACGTTGCCCACACCACCCTAATGAACACCTTGGCGCTGGAACACCTGGCGCACAAGCAACCCTCCGTGGACTTTGTGCACGAGTCCCCCGGGAAAGTGCAGACGGACATCGTGGCTAGTTTCCTTCAATCCCCGGAGCGCACTCGCTCGAGGCTGGTGTTCTGGAGATGGCTCAAAGGGATGCTCATGCTCGTCTTGCAGGCCGTCCTGCTGCCGGTGTTCTATGTGGTGGCCATGCCCTTGGCCGAGTCTGGTGAGCGCCGACTCTACGAAGCGACCGTGGACTTGTCGCAACAATGGCAGAAGCAGTTGCAGAGCACCTCACGCACTGGAAACGTGGCTGCTCCGGGGTTCTATCGGATGAAGCACACGTCCGACATCGTGATGGACGACACCGTGCTTCAGCCGTACCGGGCGCTAGGCATGCCGGAGAGAGCCTGGGAACACACGGTGGCGGTATTCCGGAGTGTGCTGGTCAAGGGCAGTGCCAAGAAGTAGCAGAGGAGGCGGTCTATTCTTATATAGGCTTGTTGGTTTTCCGACGAGTGTCTGGTCGTGTGGGCAGGGACAGGCTGGATGGCAGAACATATCGTCGATTGCCCTACTCGTTGAACTTCACAAAATAGGCACCAGGAGCATCTTGGATATTATTCGATCTGCTACGTTCGCCCAGAAACCCTTGCGTGAGCGCGGCTTCGTTAGTTGGACGGTATCAAGACCATCGCTGTGCTTGCTGCTGCTGCTATACTCGTTATCTATTGGAGTGATACTCGGTCAAAGAAGCTCTTCGTTACTGAATAGTAGCGCTGGGTCCCCATTTCATTGCAAAGACTGCTTTAGAATTGCAAACATCTTCTCTATGCTCACTACGGTGGCTGTTTCTTGCATGGTTATGAAATGCTGGATGTTAGTCAGGGAACTTGCATAAGAGCAAAGGCTGGCTCATTTCCCCTGTGCATTGTGAACAGTGTCAAAATGTCACAACAGAAGAGTTTTACACATGATATAGATTTTCGAGGACGTGATTGATTGGAAATCAATCTGGCGTTCACTGTCCATATAAACCTCACACTTTCAAATGAGAATATAACAATTCAACTTTCCTCTGAATCAGAACCCGGCACACAAGCCGACCAAGTATTCAGCAAATTCCAGTCCAGATCAGGATATTCAACCTGCAGGGACCACTCAGCCTGTATGCAGTCAGAAGTAAGATTATATTGGCTGTGATGCATCGCACACACCTGGCTCACATCGAAATCAGTCCACCCCTCGCCTTCCCTTGCTTCGTTGATGTCCAAGATGTCATTAGGACCCTTACCCAGTCGACAAGACACATCAGACCCACCATATACCTGTAGAGGCTGAGGGGACTCGCGCGACTGTGCTAGGCTCTTGTACCTGTCGACAAGAATTGTGTGACACTTTTCCAGACTGTCCACTGCCGCCGATAGTATCGCATCGTCCTGTGGTGAGCCAGTTTCGGCAGCTTTAATCTGGGCTATGATACACGATAACAAGACAAAGGTTTTGATATCTATTTGCGCACCGTCTTTTAGTCGGCATTCGCTCAAGCCTACGTATTCTTCTAATACTGTGCGAGGAACCTGCTGGCTTTTGTTTGGCGTAGACGACAGGTTGTCCGTGAGCGGGGAGACAGGTTGGCAGGAAAACCAGTCACCCTCTGTTACGCAGAGAATATCGTGTCCCACAGTCACGGAGGCAAGCAAACATGGGTCTCTAAACAGCCCACTAGAGTAGCGTTTCACATTCGAATAGTCGTTAACATTTTGCCCGGAAGGGGTTGTTGGGGGACCCGCCAGTATCTGGATTGCCGTCTCTAGGCAGACCCGGCGTGAAAAGTAATACGCGAGGTTCTTCCGAGCTTTCATGGCAAACGGCTGATGGAGGCAAAGGAGGAATCTATAGGTTAATAAGTTAAAGAGCTCCAGCTGGAACAGGGTCGGCTGCTCGTGGTTGGGAGACATAGATTTAATGATTTGCGTATTGTGGTGACATGCTGCGGTCAGCTCTTCCCCAAGACGGAGTACTTCGCTGTACGAGGGATCTAGCTGGACGCTATTTAGGACCTTTGCCACCTGTAGGCGAATCGGCAAGCATCTCATGAGGAGAATTGAGAAGGATGTTTGTGTTAATATGTTACTTGGCTCAGGCTCGCTGGTTGTACCAAGATTCGTATCGTTTAAATTATCAGGAGGCCTACAGTCGAATTCATCGCAAGATATAAGTGGTGGGGTCCCTGAGTCCATACTAGACTGGAGAACTAGTTCGCAGACGGTGCACCATAGTCGGCGGCGAATCTCAGCCTGGAACACCGGCATTGCAGGAAAATGAGACGGATCACGATGAAGTCCCAGTTGCTGCGCCTTCTGCAGGAGTGCGCCTGTGGATACATACACAAGACTTGCATCCACGGCGCATACTATTTGTGTAAGTAGGACAAGGCAGTAAAGTTGAATGCCATCCACACTAGCCTGCAGACTTTCCCCTGGAGCGTGCAGCCATTGCTGGGCCTCCTGGATCCAGGCCACACAGCGGGGGACCATGTCAGGCGTGCCGAGCATGTCCAATTGGTTTGCCACACGGGATCCGATGGCGATGACTAGCTGCAGTTTTAACAAGAACAGTTTGCTGGTCGGCTGTGAGCCTGTCCACATTTCATTGTATACTTGTTGGAAGGTGGGAACATGGAGAATTCGCAGCACGGACTCGAAACTGCGACAGTATGCATTGACACAGACAGTGCAGGCCTCCTGTGATGGCAGGCTGCCGTCCAAGGCCTGCAGAGAGGAAGCGCGCAGACTATATTGTTGCTGGATTGCTCGTGAGAGCCGCTGACATTTAACAAACAGAGCACGGAACTCCACATCATTATCCTGGAGTCGGTTGTTTAGTGTAAGCACAATTGTATCGAACTACACTGTGTCAGCATTTGGTGATGGATCGATCTATATAATTAGCTTACCTGCGCAAACCCCACCAGCCAGTGACTTTTGCCCAGAAGATTCGCCTGGCACACCGTGCGTCGGGCCTGCGGATGACGCTGTTGAATATGGGGAGCCGCTAGGGAATTCTCTGGTTCTTGTTGGCTGAAGACCTTCTGCTCCAGCTGACGCACCCGTTGAATGAGCACCTGGACCTCTGTTGGCGCCTGTGCCTGTGTGTGCCTGGGCACGTGGCCTGGGCACGCTGGCGTGCCGGCAGGATCGCGATGTTTGCGGGAGGAGTTAGTGTCGTGGATCACAAAGAGTGGATCCCAGAAGTCCCCATACATCTCGCCCTCGCTTGGAATTGGCTCGACCTGAGCAGGAGGAGAGTGGCCCACGCCGCTGTCAGTGGGCACGCGGTCGTGCCCGGGGATTGGATTTGAAGTAGCCATATCCATGGCATGATCTGTGGTGTCGAGCCCTGGCAGGTCCTCCTCGGGAAACGAGGGATTCGAGTTGGCCAGGTATGTACATGTGCTCGCATACCCGGTCCTAAGACACTGACTGCAGGGGACCTTACGGTCACACCGAATCTTTCGTCTCCGACATCGATCGCAGGCTAAGACTGGGCGTCGACGTTTACGCTGCGCGGTTTGCTGTGGTGGTCTGGGGTTTCCGTCCATTGGCGGAGAGGCAAAGGGCAGAAGAACAATGGAAATAACCGAGATAGAGGAGCAATGTGAATGGTCTTAGGCCAGAGCAGAGAGATAAGGAAGAGTTCGTAATATTCTAGCTGGAGGAGTGAGTTGCTTATTCTTAATGCCATAAGCAGGCCTTATCCGGGAAGGCCAACCGAAACCAGTGTTGAACTTCGGAATTGTTCGAGGTTTTGTATGTTCTGTCGGGGTATGTCTTCAGGGTATGTTTCAGCCCTTTACTGACATTAAAGTAAGCTAACACACCCTCTAGGATCCACTCCTGCAGGAGATTCCTGCATCTGGTTTGTTTGCGTGCATGATTTGATGGCGATAATGGGGGGCCAAAATGCCTCCCACACGATTCGTGGCATCGACTAATGGACATATAGTAATATACTATTACTCTCAAATTACGTTTTTTAATATATTATTTATAATATCTTAATTCTTTAGATTAGGGTATAATAAAATTTTACTTTTTGATCTTTCTATTTTTTATTTTTTATTTTCATTCCCTGTTTCTTTTAGTTATTTATTTATTTATTTTTTAATTTCTTTTTCTGTTATGGATATTATATATAGTATTAGTTTATAGAATAATCTATCAATAAACCTATTGATATGTAATAACCCTTGAACGCCCTCGAAATCGATCTTGCAAGTCCAGTTAACCTGCTATGGCGCTACCAAGCACAAAGGATCCATAGATGCGTGAAAGATTGCCGAATCAGTGGTGCCTGTCGGGTCAGATTAACCGTTTGAAGCATTACTTTTGAAAGACCCCCTTCTGCCTGACTCTCTTTAAAAGCGAACAAAATGATACCTCATCTGGTGAAGTTAGCTTGGACGGTATGTGTGGAAGTGGAACTTAGACTGGCTGATTGAGACCCCTTGCAGAAACTCTAATAGGGAACAATATTATATATATCGATATATCTCTGGGCATTTTCTCCCCGCTCTATACCCTGGCGTATATGTCTTGGGCGTCTAGGTGTGCCTCATCACGTTGCACAGTCTGGTTATCTCGCATACGGCGTACAATGGCTTTTTACCACATGGTCTGAAGGGGGCCACTCCTGGAGTTTAATAGTGGACGTCCTACCATACTGGAATAACTCAATTCGTATTCGCTAAACTATCCCAGCGAACTGTCTAAAACAGATCCATGGATATATGGCGATGTAACCGTATTCAGTAGCTGTCCAACCCCCACTCATGGTAGTAGTTGCAAAACAACATATAGCATAAAACCATGTAGCACAAGAGAGCCTCAAGGCAGGCGGATTTCAAACATACCCTGTTGGGAATAAGGTGTTCAAGGCGCGACCTTGTGGCCAGATGGTTGTTTTGGTGAAGTGAGATTGAGGTATCCCTTGGAATTTAAAGTAAACTATATAAACAAACGTTCCAGAGGCTATTGTTCGTATCCGATGTGGTATCCTTAATCTGGGTCCGAATACGAGGCCCTTTTGACATATTGTCGTTAAGATATTTAAGTCATGAAAAGAGCTATCTCATATGCCGTGCAGAGGTATTTTGTTGTGTTGGTTACGGTGCTGTAAACCTTAGCTATGCCTTACTTGAACTGGCCTCCAATGCCATCATTGGTGGTGGCCTGGCCGGCGTTTTGCTTGGGCATATCTATGAATAGGCCTCTGACTGGCGTGAGACTGGGACATCTCCAGCATGAACTCAAGCCCCCCCCTGCTGACGGACCCCGCCAATATGATGAACCAGTTGGGGTCTTTACCAGAATAAATGGCGAAATAGTTAGATATGTGCTTGCTCAGCACAGCGTATTCATAATAAGATGTGTCAATGTGGGCTAATTAATCTTAGTGCTTGATCTGGGTAGTTCCGGCTTGTGCCTTCGCCAGCCAGGCAGTATTGAGATACCAGCAGGGGGGGCTTTGCTATTAGTATCATTTGTAAAAGTCCTTTTTTAGGAACGACTAGAACAGACAAAGCGGGCAAAACGACCAGGATCTTACGCAGTTGCAGGCCGCCTGACCGAACTGCCTGTTATTCCAGCGATGGCAGTTATTGTCCCGGTGACCTGACTACTATAAACGATGTCTTATAACATTGTTGTATTACGAGCTCGTACAGTGCAATATTCCGATAACATGGTTGATAGGGAATTTCGGATCACGGGGCCTTGCATACCCTGATCGCCCTTTGTGGCTACCGGCAAAACTCACTAGAACTCCAGAAAACTGAACAAGAAGAAAGACCAAAAGGACACAAATACCAGCTCGGCCGAGCGTTCTAGACCCTTCCTGCTGAACTGGTTGATGCTCATCGTCAGCCCTTTCCTCGCCCGCAATGATAAGCACGGCAGACGCTCCGGATCCATCCCAACCACCACGTTGCGATCGCTCTGGACCTGGTCGAAGGATTCCTCCCCCAGATCTACGTCTTCGGACGTCGCTAAATGCTTACCCCTAGCCTAGGATCGCAATCCTGTGACGTATTATTACAACGTTACCACAGCTTTTTTCAGCGGCGAGTGGGCTCGAGCGGTCGGACGGCCTTTAGCCTTTATGGTCTGTAGCACAAACAATGGATATTATCTCAGGTGGAACCACTGGTAGGTTTCGTGCGGGGGGAAAGCCCGGCTCACATAAGCCGGACATATTCCATTCGGATGGGCTGAGGAGCGGTCGACGCTTCCAGAGAGAGCGGAGGTATGCTGGAGAAGCATGGCTACAAACACTCGGCATCGGTTGTGTATGACTACGATCTTGTTGAACATGGCGGCTTGGTCCTACATTATCGTCGACCAGTGAAGTAACCTAATTCGGGTACTCAACTCGTTTCCTGAAGGGACAAACAATGGCCTCGCCTATGAAGGTTGGCTTCCTTGCCGGTAGCGATATAGGGATTGCCGCCGCAGTGGCTGTGGTGGCTAGTATTGTGATCTATCTGGCGCTTTCATGGTTCTTCGTACGCACAGAAGTACCGAATATGCCCCCTAATCGCAACCCGCGTAAACCCAGTCACTGACGGAAAACTTGCGCCAGGAATTTAAGAATGATCAGAACCAGAGCATCAAGGAATATCCGAATAATACGCGGTTCATGAGATTCACTCATGGGTATAGCGACCAATTGACTCTTCGCTATAGGCACCACATTGACATTATCCATGCAGAAAACAACTGTCGGAGGCTGGCGAGGCGCTTGCTGGTTCAGAGCCATATCTCATTCACAACGGAAAAAGGAAAGAGCTCGTCATTTTCGCCCCAGAGCATCTCCAGGAATTCCACCGAAAGGACGCCAACTCGCACTACAAGCCTGAAAACATGAATATGGGTGACTATGCAGGGCAGTAAGTGGTACCCCACAAGTATAGTTTCCGACTTCGGGTAACCACCATCATATGTAGACTTCTAGGACAATGTGTGGGACAGCTGGGAGGCACCAAGTGGAAGCTTGCCCGGAGTCATTTGGATCCGGAATTTTCGCATCGGGCCAGTCGTGCCATGATGAAACGATTCTCCCAGGAGATTGACTCGTGGGTTAGTCATCTCTCAGAGAACCCGACCAGAAAGGGCTCCCAGAAAGATGTGTTTATGCAGGATGTAAAGAAGCGGTGCAAGGATCTGTCCTTGAGGTCCATCGCAATCAGCATCTATGGCGAGACGTTTAGCGAAGAGGTGTGTGGCTTGGGACACTGACGATTCGAACATGAGCTAACGATACGTAAAGAACTACGCGGCTTTAAGTGCCATGAACGAACTCCACGAGAAGATCGTTTTCGTCGCGTTTCTCAATAAGCGAGTGATGTCGAAATGGTATAACAAATTGCCGACTGCTGAAAAGGGACTGATGGATTCGTTCCAGACGCAGTGGAAGGCTTTCAACCTCGCTCAGATCAAGCTGGCAAGAGAGGTACCGTCGTCCCCAATGTTATATCCAGGGGTGTCTGATAAGCCTGTAGAAAAAGCTCTCGTGTCCGGCAGAAAAGATCTACGGAGGTGTCGAAGCCGGCGACATGAGCCTTCCGGAGGTAAGCAAAGCTCGAACATCCACTGGAATGTAACTAATGCCCTTCCAGTTTCTACAATCTCTGGACGAAATGCTTTTCACGAATATTGATATAACCGGATCTATCTTAGCGCTTATCTTCCAGCACTTGGCGAAGGATCCAACCATGCAGAAAAAGCTCAGGGCTGAGATTTCCACCCACAGAGCCCAGCCCGGCTATACGGTGGGGGACTATATTGGCAAACAGAACACCCGACTGCATTTCTCGCTGCTGGAGTCGATTCGCGTTACCCCTGCTATGTGTACGTTCTTCATTTGCCGATCGACGCAGTGAGATACCCCGGATTCGCTAACCAAGTCAGACTTTACCCTACCGGAATGTAACGCCAGCCCCAAGCGCATTGGGGGATTCCACATTCCTGCCCACACGCCAACGATCGTGGACGTCAACCGGCTGAATAAAAACAAAAGTATCTGGGGAGCAGACGCTGATGCTTTCCGCCCGGAGCGATTTTTTGGTCTGGACCCCGCGCGGTATCGCTTTGGGTTTGTTCGTTGGGGGATCGGACGTGACAAGTGCCTGGGCAAGAATATGGCAGAGGTGATTCTGAAGCTAGCGATTCTGGCTGTGACGGACAAGTATACGCTACATGTACCCTCTGCACTGTCTGATCAAGGAGAGAAATCGGAGGCTGGCTTCACGATCAACCGGGACGTGGAAGTAGAATTCAGACCCGCCATCTAGGCGGGGAGAAATACTGGAAGGTTGATGATATACGCTGCCAACACAAATTTCATTTCTAATCAATCGGCTTCTATATTTTCATTCGTATGGTACGGTCTTCTATCCGGACGAGTCTTGGTTCACAACCGCATTAGCCATCCATACTCGGTATGTTTTGTTGATACCTGTGAGGCGGATCAGTGACATCCTCACAACCCACGAAACTCTTTTTAGGTATTCTAAATACCTGCAACTAAAATACCAATAGTAGACGTCTACATGTGATCTTGTCCACTGTTCAGGACATTTCCTTGCAGTGGTTGCGGTTTGCAGGGATTGTGAATAGATATAATACTTAGGCGTATGGCCGAGTGATGGCAAACCTCATCTGACAACTGAAGAAACGGATAACACAATGGCCAATGAGCTATGATATTATTGTCTCTATTCCTAAAGTGGGGATTTATTGTAGGCGCATTAACAATAACACACGTAAGAAATCCTGATCAAGGCTATCGCATCCAAAAGCAAGGATCGACAGATCATTAGAAACGCAAAAGAACCCATAGACAGAGCAAAGGTAGACGCAACGCCCACTTTCAGCTACAGAAGAACAACTACACCTTTGCCATCAGCTTTGTGTTTTGGCGCAGCCGTGCGATCAGCACCAAGCCCGCTCCAGCTAACAACGCCGCCCCCGAATACATCGAAAGGGCCAGATAGCCGTGCTTGAGTAGGCGCCCGCTGATGGGGGTGCCGACTAATCCGCTGTACGAGAGAATTAGTCAGCCAGAAGGAGCCATGCGAGAGAAAAAGGCGGTACTTACGGAATTGCTGGCGCGACAAAGAGAATGCCGACGGCAGCCCCCCTCGACTCGGGCGTCGAGAGCTGGGCGGCACACGGGGTTTGGAGACTGAACATGGCCTGCAACCACGGTGTTAGGCCTCGGAGGGGTCTTATTAGGATCAGACGGACTTACCCCGGACGTGTATCCATAGGCTAGGGCAAAGAAGATGATGCCGACGGTGTTCGTGGCCTTGGTCCAGCACATGGCAATCAACCCGGAGGAGGCAATCGTCAAGAAGCAGAGGTTGAAGTTTCCGTAGCGATCGGCCAGAAAGCCCGTGGAGACTCGCCCGACCATGGAGGCGCCGTTGAGCATGGACACGAGGTAAAAGGCCAGGCTGACGGACAAACCTTGCTCGGTGGCGTAGGTGGAGATGAAGAAGAGCGGGCTGAAGAGGCCGAAGGTGGCTACTGAGAGACCGGCGCAGAGGATGAGGAAGGTCGGGTTCTTGATAATCGACGCTGGCCCTTCTGCGCCTTGCGCCTTGTGGTCGCTCGCTGACTCGCCGCGCGACAGCTGTATCCCCTCTCTGTCCGAATCGTGCGGTGTCTTGGGAGCTGGGCGGATGGTCGCGACCATGAAGAGACATAGGGGCAGCACCACAAAGCCGACGATGCGGAAGGTCCAGCCAAAGCTGACGCCATCCTTGTTGAGCAGCTGATCGAGCATGATGGGCCAGATGATACCGCCGATGGAGGACCCGGCGATCATGATTCCGTTGGCGGCGCCGCGGTGGCGATCAAATAGACGGGTGACGGTAGCCATAGCCGGACAGAGCAGGAAGGCGTTGCCGATGCCTAGCAGTATACCTTGGGCTAGTAGGAACTGATACAGCTCCCTACATAGTGAGATCATGAAGGTTGCCAGGATAGTGGCAACGGCGCCGAAGGTGAGCAGCGGCTGTAGATGACGAGTGAGTGGATGCGACCTCCCGTCCTCGCCTGGGACAACTTACTGTGGGACCAACCCGATCCACCAGGACGCCTGCAGGCGCTGCAAAGAAAAAAATCATGAACGTCAATAGGGAGCCAATCCAGGCGATATCGAACTCGGAATGATCGCGCAGTATGGTGGCATGATAGAATGCCTGGAAGACCCCAAAGGCATTCTGGAACCCCAGGGTGCAGAAGAGGGCCATGGAGGCTCCAATCAGCGCAATCGTCGAGCGAAGCCTATCCCACAGGATCAGCGGTGTTCAGAGGAAGGAAGTAGACCGGCCTTTACGTGAACTCTTTTGGAGGGGAGGCATTAGCCTCGCTGTTGTCCACTGTCGCGGACATGATGAACGATCTAAGATCAGAGTTGACAGGGACTGAGCAGAAGAAGCAGAAAGGCCTTGGAGAAGCAGCAGCAGCAGCAGAGGTAAATAACAGAATCAGTGAGCCATATATACTCCCAGATCGGGCAAGTGCCGGCTCATTCTCCATGGAGATTCCTCAACCTCCATGGAGACTCCGAGGAGCCCCGTGGAGCTCCGGGGCAGCCACGGAGAGTAGGTAAGGGTTTTCGAGATGCGGGCAGTCGCATGAATAGTAATAAAAGAGAAAGAGAACGACATAGGGAGAGCCGTTCCCTTTATAAGTAGCAGGCACAGGCGACTACTAGTACCGGTGTAGGAACAGGAAGAGGACGACAATGAGCGTTCCTGAGCGCTAGAGTGCCTGAGTGCCTGAGCGCCTGAGCCACTAGGCAGCCCCACTTCACTGCATAGGGTTTAGCGCCCGCTGTCGTTTTGCTTCCCAATGGAGACTTAGCACCCGATCAGGCTTAGCGGCCTGTCACACTGACCCTCACTTATCTTTCTTTCACCCTCTCTTTTCAGTCAGCTACCATTCGCCCTCAACATGACATTCCGTTCTGAGCTCTACCGCTGTTACTGGCTCAGCTACAGCTAATTTGATATCGTCGAGCTTGATGTTATCACCCTATCTCCGCCATAGCGTCGGCATTTGATCGACCAACATGCAGCGACGACGTCGGAGGCAGCTTCCGGTCTCGTGTCAGCTCTGCCGGTCCATGAAGTTGAAATGTAGTCGCGACCAGCCCTGCTCCAACTGCCTCAACCGTGGGGTCACCTGTGAGCGCGCATATCGGGTGGAGCCGACCACCTTGCCCATCGCGTCTCCCAGCACCATCGACCCCGTGCAAGCACAGACAACGTACTTGCAGCAGCCGGGATGGTCTGCTAATCCCAGTGCCGGAACTGGCACCGGCAGCAATACCGAGATCCTGTCGCGTCTACAGCGGCTGGAAGACATCATTCTTCGGACCCATGGTGCCACTGCTCCGCGTCCCTCTACGGAGCCCTCACACATTTCCGAGGGCGAGGGGGACTCGAAATGGCTGGAAGGGGTCGGGACCCGTGACACTTCCGTGGTGAGTCTCTGATGTTGCCCTAGCCAGCACTCGATGTGTCATGTACTGATGGAGCCGTGCGCCCTGCCCACTTGTAGTTGTCATCCATGTCCAATGGCGTATCCGTCCGCGTACTCGCGGTCCAGCAGGCGTTACAGACGGACATTTCTCTGGGAGAGGCGTCCGGTAATTCCTCGTCCGTGGGCAGCTGTGTCGCCAGGGTGTGGTTGCCACTGAAGAATGAGGCGGCCTGGCTGCTAAAGCGCTACGGCGAAGATGTCACCTATCTACACCACATCCTTCATCTCCCGTCGGTGCGCCAGCAGATGGAGGATTTGTACAAGCAACTATCCCTGGGGTTACCGATAGAGCCCTGCCATGTCGCATTAATTCTTAGTATTTTTGCCAGCACGGCCTACACGCTCACCCCTCTTACCGGCGGGGACGCGGTCTTCACCAACGAGCAGACAGCTGTCAAGTGTGCCTTCCTGTGGAGTAAGATGGCCTTGGATGTGCTGGAGCACTCCAGCCGCAGCACCCCCGGCTCCATCGAAGATATCCAGGCGACCATCATCCTGTCCTTTGTCATTTTCAACTTTGAGGGCTTCACCATGCGCTTCCGCGCGCTCAGCGCCAGCGCCCTAACCATGGCCCGCGATTTGTCGCTCCATCGCTTGGACGCACGACCGGACCGACTGCCCGACCCCCACGCACCACTGGACAGCGATATAGGGCGGGAGATCAAACGCAGGGTGTGGTGGCATATGGTCTCAACTGACTGGTGAGTTTACTTTGTGTGGTAGACTCGTTCCCCGGCTAGGGCCACGGCCAGCTCTGCTAACGCGCCTCCCTCCTTCCCCCAGGATCCTGGCGCTGTCAGGCGGGCCCCAAGAAGGGACATACTTGATGCACCCGGCCCACATGCGCGTCAACTACCCCCGAAATCTCGATGATCGGGACCTCGATCGTTGCGACCCGCAGTACAGTCGACCCCTATCGCAACCAACGGCGATGACTTACACGCTCCTACGCATCCAGTTGGCCGACATTTGCCGTAGCGCCATCGATGCGCTACCCCCGCCCTTTTCGGACTGGGGCGAGGTGAACTACGATCGGTTCATCTCGCTGGACCAGCGCTTCGAAGCCTTCATCCGCAGTCTCCCAGTCTTCTTCCGCCTCGACGAGGCCAGCCGCCGTCAGAGCCGAGATGTCGAGCGCCGGTACCCCCAGATCATCGTGCAGCGGTACATCCTCTGGTCGACCCTGCAGGGGCGCCGGTCGAAGTTGAATCAGCCCTTCCTCACGCGCGTGTCCATGAACCCACGCTATCAATATTCACGGAAGGTGTGCCTGCAGTCGGCGCGCTGTGTGATTGAGCTGAAGGCCCTCATGGATCAGGACATGGCCTCGCTCGCCTCAGCGCACGTGCGGCTGGCCACCTTCCTCCACAACTACTTCCTGGCCACCGCGGTGCTGGTCATGGATCTGTGCCTCAATAAGGAGGAAGGCAGCAGCGAAGACCGCCGCCAGGAGATCGTCGACGCGTGTCGCGTCCTGCAGGAGGCCGAGGCGACGTCGCCCATGGCGAGCAGGTTTTTGAAGTCCCTCATGGACATCTTGCAGAAGTATCAGATCCAAGTCCTGCCGGCAACCACGGTCCCGGATGTGCGACCACTGTCGGTTAACACCGGTGCTGGTGGCGTGCCGGGTCCGAATCTGCCGGACAGGGACCTGGTGAACCCCAGCCAGATCTTGCCAAGTGCATACGATCTGCTGGAAAATGCGAACATTGATGATGTATGGCAGAACTTCATCAAT